GTTAAGCGAGCAAGCTTGACGTTAATAGTTAATAAATATTTATGAAAAGGCAGCTTTTGAAGCGTCACCTCTAAGCAATTTTTATTTTTTTCAAGAAATTGTTATTTGTTACAGCATACATTTTCAACAAAAGCTGTGAGAACTTATAGGGAAAATGATTAATTAAATGCTGACTAATCCATTCAAACTAACCCGATTTGCCCGACGCAGCTATTGAATCTAGCCCACAAATCGGTATCAAATTGGGCAATATCCGAGGTGGTAGGGGCACAACCAGAAATGAGTTAACCGAGCTGGCAGAAATGCGAGCACAAGAATTCCGCTGACGTCGCTCTGACTGTGACCCCAAAAAGCCAAGCTAATGTCATGCCGTCAACGAATATTCGTCATGGCTGCATAGCCCCCACCGTGGAAACCACCGTCGAAACACCGCCAAAACCACCGTGGTGGTCTCATTTCAGCGTAGTTCGGCGGATCGGCTTTCGGTTTCCAGTGCTCGGCGTTCAGTTTTCGCTTTGCGGTTAGAAAACTCAGGCAAGGTCAGTTTTATTAATTGCCCAAACGGAATACGAAACTTTGCCTCAGTTTCGGGCATCTTTACAGGCAATTAACGCCGCGCACAAGACCAAAACAAATCCCCGAGACGGAGACGAAACAAAACACTTTCCTGTATTGCAACAGACTTGTGAAAGTGGCCAACAATTGTGGGTAAAATTTGCATGCCAAAGCCGATCCCGCCGCTCCCCAATCGCCCCCACCGCCGCGCAAACACACACGTGTGCCACCGGGCAAATTGACATAAATTCCATGACAAACCAAACGAAAACAGAAAAATGGCTATTTTCCCTGCGTTGCCATTGCATGCATAAAAATGCGACAGGCAAGCGTATTTGGCCAAATTCCCAAACACACCCAGAGACCCAAAGACACGGACTTGGTCTTGGGCGCCAATCCCACACTCCACAAAAATGGTATGCCTTTCATTTGGATCGACAGCAAATTACACGCCCAATCGCTCTGGGCTTTGATAAATGTAACTTTTTAAAAAGAATTTTTGTCAGCACATATGGTTGAAAAGATCGGAGAGTTAAGATAAACCTTCTTAAATCACCAGGGTAATTCAAACTTTTCTGTTAACTTATTTATTGCCAACAAAAATGTCAAATTGTAATGACCATTGAATTAGTTTATACATATGTATTCTTTAACGAAATACTTTGGTTTCAAAGTTATTTAAAAAGACATTTTAAAAATTGAAATAAAACCCAAACGGTCTAGTAAAAACTAATTTTTATAATTTTAAGATCGTCTTAACAATTTTTTGACGTTTTACTATTTTATAAAGGATAAATAAAGGTTATGATTTGAAAAACTGTTCTAAATGCTTTACGTCTTAAAACAATAGAGCGCAAAAACTGTCTACCTTAAAAAAAATAATGTATATATATATTTTTTTAAATTCCCATTCCCTACTTTTAGTTCGTGGTTCTTAGTGAAAAATGTGCGGGCTATGTGTGTGACATGGATTTGCCGAGCTATTTATTCGACTCACGTCTTCTGGTTGTATCCATGTCAAACAAGGTTCATCTCCGACTATTCTGATTCTATGTCAGACTCATGTCTGAGCCACGTCTGTGAACTTGGAGTGAAATGAAGTGAAGTTCTTTTTTTACGGCCATAAAAGTCACGAAGTGTGTGTAGCAGCGGCGGCTGAAATGTACTTTCTTCGCCTAATTATGCAGCTGTTCTGCTTCTGCTGCTGCTTCTTCTTCTGCGTGTTAATTTAATTACAATAAAAAGTAAATTAACTCGATGTGGCCCCGTAGCGTATCTATCAATGCTTACAATTTTCATGGTCGCAGCTTTTAATGGCCCCGCAGTGGGAGAGATTGGCTGCGCAAGTGGGGAATTTCGAATTTGCATTTCCTGCTCGTTAAGTTTTCACTTTGCCATCGGCCAAGGGTCTCATCATTCCGATGGCCAGCCGCTGACTTCACCCATCCCGTGATCATTAAATGCAATGATTCATCCATCTCGGAATAGCCAGCGACTAAGTTCAATTGAAAGCATATACATTGAATACTGAAGCTGTGGAAGCAAGAGACAAGGGACCAAGAACAAGTTTTGGCCAACTAGATGCAGCCACACCTACAGAGAACCAATCGAAAACCCGCCTAGACCCAAGACAAAGACCAGATACCACCCCACTCCAGATTCGAACTCACCACAAAGCCATAACTGACAATCAATTCAACTTAAGCTTGCTCTTTGCCGCGCCTTGGTCTTTTTGTCTAGACTTCGCGTTGCTGTCTTAAGTCTTTTGATTTGTTTCCTTTTTTCTGTATTTGTTTGGTTTTGGACTGGAATTGAAATTGTCGAAATTGAATTACGACCACTCTGAGATCTTGTCACTGCTTGTCGGCCCGTTTCTAAAAAGATTTTTTCTCGCTGTTTAGTGGCACTTTTTTTGGGGGCCACAAATCATCGGACCCGTTAGCAGCGATAATAATACTGTTAACTAATTTACGCCACAGCGGCAGCAACAACAATCTCGGAAAAAATCAAGAAAAACAATCCAGCAAGTCAGCGCGAAGAACCAGAAATCATTTTGGGCTCTTTCAATGAGCTTGGCCATGGCTTTAACAGCGTTCTAACGGTCCGGCCAACATGACTTGGCTAATTAGGTGCGAGTAATTTGTGAAATGGAAGCCAAACGGAGGCTGGGAATTTGCATTGCAAAGGGCCGAGTCATTAAGTTGACAATGATCTGCAGTCGGGGCCCTGAGAATGGTGCTAAAGCCCCGATAGCAAATCGGCATTAAACCGCGACTCATTTTCGATGGGAAATCAAGTTTCGCGGCACGAAATTTTGAAAGTGATTGTGCGCGCAGATTGGCAGCTGCATCGAAATTGCAAAATGAATGTGAAAGTTGCTTAGCACGGCGATTATTCTTTATGAGTTGATATAGGAAGAGTACACTCAGGGATAACATATTTCTCTCTGCACAGAGAAATGTCTCTGGCAGACCCGTTATGGCTTTCACATTTGGTTTAATAATAAATAAAAGTACTTGAAATACGTGAAGATTTTTATTAAATGAAATTTAAAAGATACAAAGGGATTTTATGAAGGAATACAAATGGGGGACATGATTTCACTTTGAGGTTGATTCGCTTGATATTTTATAATGAAACTAATCCACTCTTTATAGCTGAAATATGAATAATAATAAGAATCAACGTTCTCTTCCTAATTAGAATTGCGTTTCTATTATTAAACAAGGGCTATTGCAAAAATAGAGGCCCATAAACTATTAAAACATCTCTAAGGGCATATAAAAGTGTATTTATATAGTCAAACCATAAACATAAAAACAAATAATGGCGATAGCTCTCTATCATAAGCTTAAGGCTGTTTTTACGAGGAAATGGCCAGACCAAGACGATGCTGGCAGCTGCGGGCAGAGCAAATAACAAACGATCCCCGGAGAGCCAAGAACCCAACTTGGCAAAGGCAAAGGCAACCGGCCAAACAAACAAACAAACTGAAACTCGTATCTGTGAGATACACACTCGCACACAGAAAGAAACCTATGATCAGTTTAACCAAATACCAGGATATCAATTTTTATAAAAATATGAAAATAATAATACAAATTTGAAGACTAAGTTATGAAAAATATTTATTTTTGTTCCCATTAGCAGATGCTTTACGACCTGCATACCAAATATCTTTTTGCACGATTATAAATACTGGGGCAACGAAAGAACTTCAAACATTCCATCACTTTTTCATTAATAAAAGCAAACGTATCTCTATTTTATCTCGATCTTCACGGAATATTAACTTATACATTTTAGGGTTCATCTCAACTTTACATTATTCATAAATCGAATTAAACTGAAAGAAGTAATAAGTTATTTTTCTACGTATTTCTATTAAATATTAATCCGTTTTTTTCTGTGCAGCGGAGCAGTGAGCTGCAGAAGAAATAAAAGACAAGACAAGCCGAGCACCAGGCACTTGGCTGTTTGTGCGACTCCGACTTTGGCTGGCACTTGGGTTCTGGTTTTGGCTTCGACGCTGGCTCTGGCTCTGACTCTGGCTTCGAGCTGGCTTTGGTTCTGCAGGGCGCAGAAGAGTGAGCGGACGGACAAGAAGTGCTGGCAGTGTGGAAATGGTGGAGGCTAAGATACATTTGCTAGACAAAACCCGCTCGCGGGATCTTTGACCTGCGCTGGTGACGACCGCGCGAGCAGAACAGGGGAGTACGAAAACCAGAAGGTTTTGTAGGAGAAGAACGTGGAGCGTGGTGGATACTCGTCGGTTTTCGAGGTGGCAAGTGCTGGTCGCTTGGGCTGCCGTTGCCTTAATACAATTAACAGTAAATACCAGTTGGCCGGACTCTAATTAGCCGTACGGCGACACTCATTCATGGCTTAGATACGTTTGTGCTCTTGCTGTATTTGCAACACTTACATTACAATGTCGATCTGCTGGCTACACCGATGTCTGCATATTTTATATAGACCATATAGACACACACTCGCACTGCACACACGTCACTCGTATTTTTTGCCACTTTATTTTTGGTATCTATTGGATATTCCGCGAGTCAACAAATAACCACATTTGCATGCACTTCCCGGAGGCCTTTAAAATTACTCTCCTTTGCACAAATATATGAGTATTTTGTGCTGTTAAGCCGTAAACATTTCAATTAGATTTCCATAAGCGTTGAATGTTTTATTTTAGTTTTACTTTTGCTGGGAATTCTGTTTTGGGGCGCCGCCAGAAAAAAATCAATCGACGCGGACCGCGGATCGGTGGAGGCAACTCTCTCGGAGCTCGGCTCGCAGCGAACTGATCTGAACTTGGCCTCGGCCGCCATCTTAGCCCGCTCGCTTCGACTGGAAGTGTTCGCCCGGAGAGCGGCGATTTCCAGGCGGAGAGAGTTTTGCCAATTGGAATGGCCTAGGCCGTCGAGCAACAGTTTCAGTTCAGTTGGAACAGCGCGCTCAGTTGGTTTGGACGTGTTCGCGGAGGTTAGAAAAAAGTTCTTTAAATTATCTTACATTAAAATATATAAAAATAACATATCATTTAAAATGCTTTAAATATTAGCAGTTTTTTGGGCAAAGCGTTAAAACTTAAAATGCGAATTACAAAAGTGTTTTCAGCTTTTAAAAATACCGTTGTTTGGTTTTGTCATTTTCTCTCTATATAAAAGACTTCCTATATTTATTTTCCTCTCTCTGGAAAGAGACTCTTTTGCAGTGGCTAACAATGTTACAAAAGTTTCTCCTAAAAATAAAATAAACACATTATAAATAAGTAGTTTTAAAGTAAATTATTCTTAACATTTATACAACAAATGTCATTTTAGAAATACGACTTCAGTTCTTACCAAATAACTTTTGTTGCTGTTTATATTTTTTCTCTGCATGAAACCCTCTTTATATTCCCGTCTCTGGAAATCAACTCTCATTACCTTTACTACTCTTAAACCACAAACAGAGTACAAGGCCCGAAGAGCACGAAAAGTATAATCAAACAAAAGCAGTTCTCTCAGTGGCGGGTATGAAAATGATCGGCAGCGACTACGTACTAGAAGCACATAACATTTTCCACACCACCGAGGTAAGATCTCTCTCTGAGTTCGTGAAAACTCCCCCCAAAAACCTTCTCTGTTTTTTATGGTTCTGCCAACAGGTGGATGGTGGTGGCTGCTTCAATGGAGCCGGCAACTCGGCCCTGGTGCTCAAAGGCGTCAATCTCACCGTGCACAGTGGCGAGGTGATGGCCATTCTGGGTTCGAAGGGTATGTGGATCTAATGTATATTTTAGAAGTAAAACTATAATAATATTTATTATTTTCAGGGAGTGGCAAACGGGCACTCCTGGACGTTATCTCAAGACGCGCCGATGGAGCCACTCGTGGTCAAGTGTTGCTCAATGGGTCACCACTCTCCAAGGCATTGTTTCAACAGAGATGCGGATATGTCACCCAGTCCTGCACCTTTGTTCCTGGTCTCACGGTGGCCCAGACTCTCCACTACACGCCAACCATTGTGAGTCAATATAGTATATAAAAATAGTTTGGATACCAAAGAAAATGTTTTGGAATTTGGAGCTAGGCTATAATTATTACTTAAATTACATTAACATTTTTAAATATATTTCCATCTAATACTTATATTATAAGTAATTTCCATCATCATCTACCCTGAGAATGTTATAAAAATCTATAAATAATCTATAAATCGATTCCGCACGTTAAAATCTAATTGCTTTTTGACTTCTTCAAAAAGATTCTTCAACCAAATATGCACACTCTTGAAACCATATAAGGGCATACTTCTAATACTTTTAATACAAATCCGTATCAAAGCTTTGATTGTTGGTTGTATAAAACAATATCATATTGCAGTTAAGTGGTTATTTGAAGAGTTCCAAGGTGAGACAAGTGCTGGCCGATTTGGCCCTTTCCCAAGTGGCCCACAAGCGAGTGGAGTACCTAAACATCAGCGAGGCGAGACGTCTGGCCATCGGAATCCAATTGGTCAGAGATCCTGGTAAGTTGTCCACACAACACACGGAACTTATAAGCTAATTAATATTCCTTTTAGTCATGTTGCTGCTGGATGAGCCCACTCATGGTCTGGATCCCTTAAGCGCCTATCTGCTGATATCCATTCTGTCCAACACGGCCAAGAAGACGGGATGTGGAATCCTGCTTTCTCTGGAGAAGCCGCGCTCCGATGTGTTCCCCTTCCTGGATCGTGCCCTGTTCCTCTGCCTGGGTGGAGTAGTTTACTCCGGCGGCACTCGAGCCATGCTGGAGTACTTCCATGGCATTGGGTTTCCCTGTCCCCAGCTGGAGAATCCCCTGATGTACTATCTCTGCCTGTCCACCGTGGATCGTCGTAGTCGCGATCGGTTCTTGGAGTCGAGCCAGCAGATCGAGGCGTTGGTGGAGCGATTCTCCCGGGAAACTCCCATCTCGGATGCCCCACTGAATAACATGGGATCTGGCAAGGTGCCACTGGCTTATGGAAAGCCCGGAGAGCTCAAAGTCTGGGTTATGTTGTATTTGTAAGTATTGCTGGTAAATACTTTGACCATTACGGATTAAAATTAACTTAAATCTCTTGAACAATTCTTCTCAAGAAAACTACTGGCATCAACCTTCTCTTGCGGCCTCGTGGGAATGAAGACACTATTCCTTCGTATGCTACTTCTTCCTTTAGCGCTGAGTATCCTTTGGGCATTCTACACAGATGTCGGGGTACGTTAAGCAATAAGAATGAAATTATTTTACATAATACTGATGGTAATTTTCTAGGATGATGCCCATGGCTTCTTTACCAAGAACGGCATGATCCTTAATATATTGGGGTTATCTTACGCCTGCGGAATCCTGACCACAATATCCCTATGTGAGTAGTGGCTTTTAAGGCTTAAGGTCCTTACATTCAACCATTCAACCTTTCGCAGTTCCCATTTGGCGCAAGAAATTTTCACAGGACACACCAGAGGGGCTTTACTCGGGAACTACTTTACTGATTGCCTACAACTCCGTTTCCATACCCTTCTCCGCGGTATCCGCCGTAATAGCCAGCTGTGTTGTTTATCCGTAGGTTCATAGGACATGATAATCGGGTTCAGAATTAATCTCATTGTTTGTTTCAGCCTTCTGCTGGACGTGAAGTACAACAATGGCATCGTCTTTGCTTATTTGTTTGTGGCTTTGTGGTCCAGTTTTGTGCTCGCCGAACAACTCACGATTGCCTTCCTTTTGGTGGTCAAGGTTCCTTTCAATGCTGCCATTGCAGTGACCTATGTGCTGGTGATCAGTATTGCCTTGGCCAGTGGAACTGTGCGGTGAGTGTTACTGATAAGATTCAATTTATTCAAAATGATATTTGTGGCCAACTTTTTTGATCAATCACAAACATTTCCCTGTCCTCAGATCCTTCAAGGGACTCCAACCCTGGCTGCAGGACAATACCAAGGGCACCCATACCCGATACGCATCCTCATTGCTGCACAGCATCGCTTTTCAATCGCGGAAACTCAACTGCACGCCCACTGCCTCTGTGATCTGTCCCAAGCCAGCTGACTTTATGCACGAGCGACTAGGATTGCCGGATCCTGATGTAAGTTGGATTATAAAATTGTAATTTAACGGAAAGAATAATACAACTTTGTTTACAGGAAACCATCGATGTGGCCGCCTCTTGCGCATTTGCTGTTGGCTTAGCCGCCTTTAACATGCTGGTCTACTTATTTCCCATGCCACGATGTGTGCGCCAGAAGTTCAAGGACTAAAGATCTTCAAATTTGCAGTGCAAAACTTTCCCTACGTTTTATTTAGATTTTATTTTAACTTAATAAAAACTCTTACTAAATATATTTCTAAAAGTACATCAATTTTTGATAACCATATAGGGATTTGCCTTTTATAAAATTTGAATAAGGTAACAAGCTTAAATGCATATTAAATACATTATAGAGATTTAACACGAGGGGTTTTTAAATGATTTAAGAAAGAGTTTCTGAAGAATTTCAATACTTCATTAAATAATATGAATAGTTCCCAATGATTTGATTTTAAGGCAACTTTTTTCACCTCTTGCTGTTAGATGCAATAATTAACTTCAAAATAAGCCATAAAAATATAAAAAACAACTTTTACGAATTACATTTCATTTTATTTACAAGAAAACTTAAGACTAATACAATTTCGTAGTGAATTCATTGAATATTAGACAACAAGTACAAAATACTTCAATGTAATTTTTCAATAACTTTTCCTCCGGTCTCGATACGGTTTTCGCTGCCAATTCGCTTCAATTCAACAATTGTCTAACGACTAAACATATATTCTTTTTATTTAAATAACTAGATACACGCATGGAAATTCATTAGAACGCATCTGAAACGGATTGAATGAATGTACGCGAGTGTTAATGGGTGTCAAGCGGTTCGTAAGTAAGATATGCATATGGATATGGATATGGAGTTTAGAGTTCTGATGAGCATGGTTGGGGATACTGTCTGTTTAAAATACTGTGGCACCTATTTAGGGGGGATGTCTGGAATCTGGAGCAGGGCTATCGAGTAGTTGGTGCGAGTCCTGGGCAGGATAGCCGCTCAGTCCGTATCGTAGTAGGCGTAGTCGTAGCTGGTGTCCTCGTCCGCATGAGGAGGCCTCTTGCCGGCCGGTCGCTCCTTTTTCTCCAGCTGCTGCTGCTCCTTTTTGCTCTTCACCGACTTCTTGGACGCCCCCTGTGGTGGTGCACTCGTGGTAATGGTGGTTGTTCTGGCAGTGGTCGGTGGTCGACGGGTGGTGGTGGTGCTGGTGGTTGTGGATGTGGTAGTCGTGGTGGTGCTAGCGGTGGTGCTACTGCTGGCCTGCGGACTAGATGCCGCCAGCTGCGGACTGTACTGCGAGTTGTACTGCTGCGAAGTCTTCTCCGCCTTGTAGATGTCCGCCCTCAATTTGTTGATGCTGGCCGCACCGAAGTTCAGGGACTGGGCGGTCTTAAAGAGCTCATCCTCGTCGCTGAGGTCCGCCTCCGCTTCCCGTTGCCGTTCCCGCTCCCGCTCCCTCTCCTTCTGATAGGTGGACTGCTGCTGGCTCTTCAGGTGGCTGTGCGCCTGCTGGAAGCCATGTGGCTGCCTGCTGGAAGCCACCGGAGCACTTGTGGTGGAGGTGGTGGAACTGGTGGATCGGTTGCGCAGGAATCGGATGCGATTGCGGGGGAAGTCGTTCTCGTAGAGCTCGGGATGGTACTGCCCATCGTTCTCATCCACATTCGCGTTGGGATTGGCTGTGGTGTGTGGTGCTGCCGTCACGGAAGTGGTTACCTTTTTGACCACTGCCTGGTGGGTGGGTCGGTGGGTTAGCTGCGTCTGGTAACTCTGCTCATAGGGTTTCTTATAGGTGGTGGGTCGGAAAGTGGTGGGTGTGAAGGCCTCCTTCCCCCTGGTCGTAGCACTAGTGGTGGGGTAGTACAGCTCCTGGTCCACATTACGCTCGGTGGTGGCCTTGTAGGTAATGCTGCCCCGGCTGGTGAAAGAACGGGGCTTGGAACTGGGAGCGGAAAACGGAGCCGGCTCCTGGCCACCCACTCGGGTGACCTGTGGCTTGTGTCGCTGATAATGTGGTTCCAGTTGGTTGGGCTTGGCATTTTGCGCCACTTGGAAGGGCTGAGGCTTGGGAACCTTCGACAGGTCCACAAACTCATTCTGATTGATGTAGTTGGACTCCTGGGGACCGAGTTTCTGTTTCCGCACTGCCGCCGTTGTGGGCTTACTGCGCTTCTCGAAGTCCTGGACTCCTTTGCCCGTCACCTTGGTGGAACTTTGCGGTGGTGAAGTGGTCTTAAACCGATAAGCTCCATTGTTGGGATTGTAAGTAGTGGGCTGAATCTTCTCCTGGGTGCCGAAATCACTGGAGCCGAAGCTAAAGCGACTGGTGATGCTGCTACTGGGACGCGGAGTGGTGACCACGCTGTAGGAGGAACTCTTGGTGTGGGGAGCATTATCCAGGAAGTCCGTGTTGAAGGTAGCGTGCAGGGTGATCTTCTTCAGCGACTTGGTGGTTCCGGGGGCAGCGGTGCTGGGGACGGTGGAACTACTTGGGCCGGCGGTGGATCGCTGCAATCCTCGAGTGGGCGTGACCCGCGTGGTCTTGCGCTGGTAATCCGACAGGTCATTGGGCTTGGGTCGCGAAGGCTCCTCGTCGTATTCCCGACCTCCGTGGCGATTGGAGAAGAAGTGCGAGCTGTGGGAACCCTTGAAGATATCATCTATGTCTTCTGCGGATGGGAGCGTGATTAATTTGGGCAATGCATCGCGTCGAGACGCTATTGTTTCTTACGCTTGGAGTCGTCATTGTTGCTGTAATTGTTGCTGTAATTGTTGTTGTAAAAGTTGCGTTCGGTCGTGGATGTGGTCGATGTGGTGGTTGTGCTGGTTTTCGGGCTGCTGGCCAAAGTGGTCGGCGTGTAATAGGTGGAAATGGGTCGCTTTGTGGGTTGCGTGATCTCCGAATTGGGACTGGAGCTGGTACTGGAGCTGCCACCTGTCTGGGCGTAATTGTGGCGAAGACGTGGTTTCTGCTCCACGCCACGATTGTTGCTGTTGTTGTGGTACTCCTTGGAGCGGCGGGCATCGCCTGCAATCACAGATAACCCTGGGTAAAATAACACTCAAATAACGCCTTTCCGTCGAATTAGAAGATGTCTAGATTAGTCTCTTCGTTTTCTTTTTTTCGAATATTTGGAAAGGGGCAACATCATAAAAATTACAAGAAATCTACCCAAAAATAAACATAAACTTAAGCACAGATTTTAAAAGAATAAAACCACGATCATTAAAAAGTAGCCACTTTGAAATCGGATGTCTGTAGGAAAAGTTATGGGCTTAGAACTGCAGGTTTTAGGTCACTTTTCTGCAGAGCCATTTTTCGTAAATTTGGAAAGGGGTAACATCATTAAAATGAAGGAAAATCGACTCCAAAATAAAAAAAAAGTTGGAAACGCAGATTTTTAGAGAATTAAATCACAATCATTTTGAGGTATGCCACTTTGAAATCGGATGTCTGTAAGAAATGTTATGGGATGGGAAGTGCAGGTTTTAGGTCACTTTTCTGCAAAGCCATTTTTCGAAAATTTGGAAAGGGGTAACACTTTAAAAATGACGAAAAATCGACCAAAAAGTGCAAACCAAGTTGAAAACACAGATTTTTAGAGGATTAAACCACAATCATTTAGAAGTATCCCACTTTGAAATCGGATGTCTGTAAGAAAAGTTATGGGCTGAGAACTGCAGGTTTTAGGTCATTTTTCTGGAAAGCCATTTTTCGAAAATTTGGAAAGGGGTAACACTTTAAAAATGAAGAAAAATCGACAAAAAAAATACAAACCAAGTTGAGAACACAGTTTTTTAGAGGATTAAACCACAATCATTTAGAGGTACGCCACTTTGAAATCGGATGTCTGTAAGAAAAGTTATGGGCTGAGAACTGCAGGTTTTAGGTCATTTTTCTGGAAAGCCATTTTTCGAAAATTTGGAAAGGGGTAACACTTTAAAAATGAAGGAAAATCGACTCCAAAATACAAAACAAACTGAAAACGCAGATTTTTAGAGAATTAAACCACAATCATTTTGAGGTATGCCACTTTGAAATCGGATGTTTGTAAGAAATGTTATGGGATGAGAAGTGCAGGTTTTTGGGACACTTTTCTGCAAAGCCATTTTTTGAAAATTTGGAAAGGGGTTATATTGTAAAAATGACGAAAAATCGACCCAAAAAGAAAAAAAAAGTTAAGTACACAGATTTTTAGAGAATTAAACCAGCATCATTTAGAGATATGCCATTTTAAAATGCGATTTCTGTAAGAAAAGTTATGCAGGTTTTTGATTGGAAAGCTAGTGATCCAAATGGCTGAGCAAATAAGTATTGTTACGAAACCTACTAGTGGACAATCCATTTAAATTACTCACCCGTTTCGGCGCGTTGGAGGTGGAAGGTGGCCTCCTCCTCGTGGGCCGACTTGCTCTCGTCCCCGGCGCGATAGAGATCGTCGAGGTGGCCGTTGTCGTAGAAGGACGTCGCCTTGTCGCAGTCGACGTCCACCCAGTTGGCGCAGATCTGCAGCTCCTGGTCGAAGGCCGTCGTGTTGGGACAGAGGAAGCGGTAGTCTTGCACCTGTTGGACAAAGTGATTAGCTCTTCGGTGTAGGAGCTGCGCAAAAAACAGCAAAAGCATCAAAAGCACCAAACACAGCACCATTAGATAGGCAGAGCAACATGCAAAATTCAATGTTATAAGTAGATTCGATTAAGCCAAAAGCATTAGAGCCAAGAGCCAGGCAGCAGCTGCAATTACGTGAACAGCTTCCCTAAGCCGCAATTCTGTTTATCGAGACTTTTTGAATCTTAGCTAAAATAGTCTTATTTTGCACTCACCAAAAATATTAATAACATAATATTAATAAACAAATTTTGAACTGATATTCTAATACAATTATTCGATGTAATATTTTGAGATGAACTTTTATGGTTTTTATCTTATAGATTGAAATAATAGAATCAGAAGAAGTTTTTAATCAACATCGACGTTTTCCTCAATTGTTAGGATTTCTGATTCCTTAAAAAATGAGAAATTATTACTCAATAATGAATACCTAATTAAATAGAGTCGACGGCTAAGTGTAAATTTCATTTTCTCCAGTATTCCCACACATTGGTAATTAGTTTTTGGTATTGTCAGTGTAGAGGCACACATCCAATCAGTGGCTTCCTTGTGAGGCGACTTGAATGCCACAGTAACCAGAAGCGCTCGGTGGCCTGTCGCAAACTTTGGCATTTCCACTTGCTACTTGGCATTTAAGTTAACCCGCAGGGGAGCTTCGGAGGCCAGACGAAGTGAACGTTCTCGATCTGGTTCTCGATGATACTACACTGTGCCATTGTGCACAGTAGGCTAATTGACAGGCCGAAATACATTCTGTCCCATAGAATATTCATATAAGCCCACTCGTATTAACACTCGAAAACCCGTTTTTGTTAGTTCCTTCGTTTTTGGTTCGATCTTTTCGTTTTTTATGTTATGCAGTATAGAGACGAGGTGCCCCATCCCGACCAGATGAGGGTCTATCTGTTCCGCAAGCTCTTGGCTCATGCCGGCGAACTGCAGCGGGAAGTGAGCGAGGAGGCGATCGCCGAGGTGGTGGACCAGGTCCTCGGCGGACGCACCAGCACGGTCTTCAACTGCGGCGGAGTGCCAGCGGTCGATCCGGCGGACATGGTCACCCGCATCCTGGGCGAGCTCTTCACCAGCGTTTACTCGATGGAGGTGAACCTGGAGGTGCACGTTTCAGTGCGTCATGTTCAGCTGAGCGGGGATTCGGACGACCTGGTCGCGAACCTCAAGGGATGCAGTCAACGGGCCACCCGGGACCACTTTGTGGCCACGCCCCGCGAGGTGCACGCCTACATAGAGAGGGTCATGGGCAAGGTAAGCCAGGGCGACGACTGCCCCCACCTGATCTTCACCATCCATGTGAGGCAGACGAATGCCGAACAGTCGTGGAAAAGTTGTGGCAAGCTGCAGCTGGTCCACCTACAGCAGCTGGCGGAGGATTCGCCGCCCCTCGAATCCGACTCGCCCCTGGACACGCTCGTGAACCTGTTCCAGGCCCTGGCCCACAATCCCAAAACCCACATCAGGTACCACAACATTCGGCTGACCAGGCTGCTCCAACAGCTGATGGGCAGCGGCGGCAGAACGGTGCTTATAAACTACACTGATCCGCCGATGAGAAGGGACCACCTGGTGACCCCCGCCCCCAGTCCCTCGTCCAATTCCAATGGCGACTTGCCCGCAGAAGTCTGGTGGGGATTGTTCAGGCAGGAGCGGGGAAAGTACTGCCGCCTGCGGGACAAGGTAATGGGAATGGTGGCGGAGAAGGACGAACTGGACGAGTTTCTGGAGAGCCTGGAGGCGAGCGACAGTCCGGAGGAGGAAAGGAGGAGTTCAGAAGACGACCTATTCAAGAAAAAGGAGGCTTGCCTCATGCACCAGAAGATGCTGCAGATTCGCTCAGAGGCAGAGATGTCTATTGACAAGTTGCAAGATCTCCAACTGGGCATCGATCATCTGGCACAAAGGAACTTTTGCTTGGAGCAGCAACTGGGCCAGAAGAACCGTCAGCTGGAAAGGCAAACCCATCTCCTCCGCCTCGCTTGCAGCCAAATTGCAGATCAGCGGCGGAAGTTCCAAGAGAAGATGGCCGAGTACTCCAACTTGTTCCAAGACATGTGGCAGCAACAGAGCTTGGACATCCAGCAACAGGAGCAAGTACAGCAGCGGCAGATGTCCCAGTTGTTTGACAACATCTGCCAGGAGATGCAGCGATGGCACCAAAGGAAAGAAGCACGGATGTCGGACCAGGAGGAAGAGCCCCGTGGGAGACCCTAGGCCAGGCTCTAGCGTTTGGCACTCGGCTTCCAGTGGAGAGGCCACGAAGCACCAGCGACCGCTTAAAGGTCAGCCAGTCAGTCGTCTTCTTCAGGTCTTCCGGACCAGTCACGAACCATTCGAAGCCATCTCACACATTCCCCAGCGCATCTGGCTGTGCCACTTTGCCATTTAGCCAATAAGCTGGCGCGATGGAACCGAGCCAATGACTGTCGGCAAGTTCGTTGCCTAAGTCTTTAGTTTTGCCCGCCAGATGTACGCTGGGAAATTTGCAAGGGCGGTTGCGGATGAAATGGTATGAAGGAGTCGCATGGATTGCGCAGTTCGAATTGTATTCTAAAAGCTTTTAACGCTGCCTATAAGTTAAATAGCAATTGTAGAGGTTAAATTTAGTGTTTGGACAGTAAATCAAGAATAAATTTGGCCATTATAGTAAGGATATTAAATTGAAAACCATTTTTTCTTTTTCCGAAAAAAAAAATAAAATATTTTTATTTTAAAACAAGGTGAGCAGTTTGCTCATTTGCTATTTAAAGTATTCTATTATTCTTAAAAACTCATCCATTTGTTTTCTCGTCATTATGATAAGTTTAATGAAGACTTAGTATTGCAAAATTGGATAAGTTTTCTTAGCCTAAAAAAAGAATGTGAAGGATATTAAGGAGAATAGTTATTTCTCCAAATAAAAATTGCTTTAACCCTACACAAAACTAAATATTGAACTGTCGGCTGGGAATAGCTATTCACGATACACCCACTCACTGCTGCCCCGATCTCGGCCAGGAGCGCTTGCACCTGGGCACAACAACACTCACCCCCACTCCGGGCAGCTTGACGCAGACGTGGAACATCTGGCACTGGGTTTCCGGGTCGGCGTAATAGCCGCCCAAGATCTTGTCGTGGCAGGTGAACTGCGTCTTGGGCATGTTCTGCAGGCTGTAGGTGGGCCAGGGTCTGCCGAAGGCCAGGTCGTCGTCCTCGTCGAGCAACTGGGCCTGCGCAAGTCCGCATCCACTGCAAAGTGTCGTCGCTGCAAAACACGGGGAAACAGAAACAGAAACGGAAAATCAGAAATCAGAAATCGTGATCTGGTTAGCACTGGTCTTCAAATGGCAGCTCGAAGCTCGAGTAGTGCTAGAATGGAGACGGTTATCTAGTGGGAACTGATGCTGGTATGGCTGGGTATGGATGCCGACCTGGTCAAGTGACCTTCGGGCCGCATCACTTTCGCTTACAACTGCGAGACGACTGGCTCGTGATTTATGTGTGTCGGAGCACTTGCTGCGGTCCAAGGCTGCGGAGCCTCTAACTCGGTTCTGCGAGTGCTCGAGACCGCTTTTTATTTACTTTTTCGGAGCATCGATTGGTATTTGCGATGCCGAACGACACAGACACATCATTAACATTTTGGCCAGACGATATATGATCGCTGTGGTCGAAACGGATCCACTGGGCTCATGGGGGTCGCTCAATTAAAATTCCAAGTCAATCAATATTACGGATTACGATTGTCGTACATGTGCCGGGCATTAGGAGCCTAATTACCCTGAGATTGTACAATGAGCGAGTATCATTGTTGTCTTTGACTTTTTACATATACATATATTTTTTTGTTTAACATATTTTTTCATTCGGCGGAGCTTCTGTTCTTGGCCCAGACATCAGACAGCGGAAGATGGTTTCGCTGCAATTACGGCAAGTCTAATTGCCATTGCAAACTGCAGAACAAAGCTCCTCTTCTTTGGCTGAAAATTGCAGTCTCAGGTTGCATAATCCCTTAGTGCGCCCCCATTTACATGCAAAAAAAAAAACAAATCCCAAAAAGAAAAACTGTTGAAGGAAACCCCAAATGCAAAACAAAGAGAAAACAAGCAGAGTCCGAAGAAAAGAAAGACGCTCGTCTCTGATTCGCATTTAATTCAAGTGAATTTCGAGCCCAACTTTCCTCCCCAGACGAGCAGTCCATTGTTTGGCAGTGAACTATGACTGGGCAGATGGCAAAGGCATCCAAGGCAGCTCTTTGTTGCCCCTCCAATGCAGATGGTTCGATTCCGATTTGAATTGCTTGTTCGCTGGAGTGAGTCTATGTACAAATTGGTCAAAACTCCGGGCTGACTTAAGCTCTCACGCAGAGATTCGGATCCCCTTGAGCCACTGTTTTGGGCGTTGTCCCACTCTTACCGAAACGATAATTTACAGTAATGATTACCATACTGATGACCCACTCTCGGCCGTAATTGCCATTTCTCAGCCTTGTCTTCATTTTGGCCTGCTGCGGGGGCGCTCGAGCAAATTACGCTTGATTTCAAATGTGATCGATATGAAACTCATTGAATTCCATTAATTTCTTTCGCGATGGACCTTGAACTACCGTAGCGTTTCTATGTGAAACATGTTCAAAAACAAAAACTAATGAGCATGCTTTTTTTCTGATATGGCATCTTTTATGTTGAGACACAATGTACGATTGCTAGGAGAAGGTTGATCGTCAGCAAATCGCACCATAAGAAGCTAATTATAATGAGAGAAAATCGTTTTGAAAGTTTGGTCCTATAATCAAAGTCTAATACCTTTTTTTCAAATGCCCACTTTTCGCTTTAGAGTTTTAATGCAAATATTATTAGCTTTTACCTCTTGCTAAGTTTTTAATTAGAAAACATTTAAATGAAATATATGGTTTTTTTAATATCCTAGTGCTACATATAAAAGTCCATTAACAAAGCTATTTATATATTTTTAAAAAGACATTCTTTAAAAAAATTTACATTTTTCGGATTTTTATTTTTAACTAAATAAAAGCGAGATAAAAGTCCTAAGATATTTTTTAATCCAAAAGGGTTAAAATATATCAGTATTATATATGAGTGAGCTAATATTGTTCAAATTTTGATCAAAAACTTAAATGGACATTAATTAATTATATTATTATATTATTAATTATATTTTCTTTACAGTTGTACGACCTTTGCAACGGATTAAAATATATTTATACTTCGTTCGTAGTTGTAAGGACTTTTCCAAGTTCCTGTCATTAATAAATAACTTAATATCTTTTAATGTTTTTGAGTAATCTACTCTTATTTAAAATATTAAAACTAAGGATTCCTGATTTCACTACGTAACATTTGTTATTAGATTTTATTATTCTCTGTCAATAAAAAGATTCTTGGCAAACACAGACTTAAATTAAATAATTTTACTCACCCAAAAGGAAGGCAATCATTGCATTGTTTATGCTCATCATGTTGTATTAGTTTTTATAATCCAAAATCAGGATGATATCCAATAAGTAATCCTGAGCAATTAAGCTGATAGTTAATGTCGATTTTCACATGGATCGCACTGCAAAACAAGAGGGCACAACACCAGAAATCTTATAAGTATTGGAAGGGATTTGATTGCAAAACCACCGGAGCTGCACAAGATGTTTGTTTCTTTGTTCTGGTTGTTTTTTTTTGTTCACTAACTTAACGCGAAAATCATCACCATCGAACGAGTCATTTCCATGGCGAATGTGCCACAAAAAGTTGTCCGTCATGTAGGAAATGAGCAGACGCCAGGTCAGAATTCCTCAAACTTCGATCGTGTATGTAAATGCGTACGAAATGTGTTTCGCAAGGTGCGAAAACTACGGAAAGCCCATTTAGAAGGTGCAGCGAAACGTTGAGAGACGTCTGCGTCTGCCGCACTTGGCTGGGCAAACAGCGGAAAGCACAGAGTCACCGCGGCTGCACCACGGCAGAAGAACCACCAGCACCAGCACCACAATACACTAACCACCAACCACCGAAAAGCAACCACCAACCGACCGGAGGAGACAGGCGAACCAGGCGAGTTCAGCGGACAGAGCGGGCTCGCGATGCGCGATCTGTGACTTTATCGTCCACGTTGTCGAAGCGAAATGATTTCTGAAAGCGAAAGGAAAACCACTTGGAGCCCATCGCAGCGCGGCTGCTGCTGCCAAGACGACAGCACCGGTGGAGCACAGTGGGGCTTAGGCCTTTGGTTCTACATTAGGTTCAACAAAGAATACTCCTAGAAGAGTATACTATATTGTATCATTGTGTCATCTTAAGAAAGAATATTTGTAAACTACCTTACCAAACCAAAGTCATTATCATTCTTAAAATAAATCCGATCAATTTAAGCCTTAAATTAAGTAATTCAAGCTGTGGTTTCCACAAATAATAAATTAACTCCTGAGTAAAGACCTTGATCATCGATTGGTCGCATCAAAATTACCTTTAGCATTTATGCTGAATATTCTTTTTGGTGACCCCAATCATTATTGTTTAGCTCTGCGGTATATAAATCCCATTCTGCACAATTGTGCTCATAACTTGAAACAATAAAATGGCACAGCTTTTTAAAGTTAATGATTTAACTACAAAATAAATTGACATTTAAATTTTTGCATTTCAGTTATAATTATTTAAGTGGTTTTCGGTCGGTTGACTTTAAAATTGTTTAAAAGTGCTAACTATTTCTGCGGTCTTTCATTATTGGCCCACTGTGCGACACCGACGCAAGCAGAGCAGCGGCGTTCCAGCTTCGTCTAGCATCTTCGTGGTCGTGTGATGTTCGTTTCAGTGATTTTTGCCAGTGTTTGTTTTCCACTGCTTATTGGTTCTGCTGCCTTTTGCGACTCGCAGACGTATGCTTAACGCAAATTACGCATCCGCAGCGTGTGACCATATGACACTTACTTAGTTGCATTGTACGCGATATTCCGCCTGCCAGGAGTCGCTGGCTCTCATCACTTACGTCAGCTGGCCGCAGGGCCAGCTCATGATTATGGGCAAGCACTCCCCCGCCCGACGAACGACCCCCACATCAATTACACCCGCTTTGCACTGGCAAAAAAAGTAAGTAGACAGGACTCCCACGATCCGGAAGAGAGTTATCTAGGTCTTAGAATGGTGTTCCTTACTTATTTTAGGGCCTTAAAGGGTAAGTGAAACTTACCTTATATTATTAAAAATAAGTTATTTTTTTATATTATTATATCTTATATCTGAAAACCATTTAACCCTTCGCTTTTTATGCTGATATGGGAATTCCTGAAAATGATTTTAAAGGACTCTGTTTTAAAATATAACTCATGGGTGAATAAACTATAAAAAATGAGTAATAAAACTATCTATATTATTATGTAAGACACTCTTAAAAATATAACACATTTTATATTTAAGTGTGGACTGAATCCTTTAGTATTCTAAATCATTTTTCTATTTCAGCCTTCCCTTTGAGGTTCTAGATTTTTGCAGTGCAAGTGCAGCACTCGACTCGCTCGTCGCTGGTTGCATCTTCCGCTGGGTATTATGTCATAGCCGTGGCGGGGCTTTGTCATTCGCTGCCCCATCTGCTTGTTGCCGCTGCTGCGGCTGGCAAGTCGGGGCAAAAGTCGCGGTGCCACCGCTAATCCGGTTATGTGTATATGGGTGAGTGTGGCACATAGCTCAGAGATGGGGGACTCCGGGTGGCGGGAGGAGCACGGCATTTGCTGCAGTGTGGGAATTTACACGCCTGCTGCTTGGCCAGATCTTTGGCGGATCTTGGGCGTTGCTGGCTAGATTTTCTATATTCGCTGCTTAGGAAAAATGCTGGCAAAACAACCTCAAGCCGTCACCTGGAACTCAAACGAACTGAACTGGCAGCTTGGCATTTCAAAGTTGAGGTTGCCTGCCGGAAAAAGGCCAGGCAGCCAGCCAGCCAGCCAAAGTCATGCAGATCAGGCGGCAGCTGGCGAAAAAATGTCAACTGGAGGACGAGCCATGAGCTGGATGACTTTCAACCCGTGGCTTCAAGCGGAGCCATCTGCCGAAGAGCTGTGGGAAGTGGTCGCCATCTTTCTAATTTGCTGCCGATTGCGATTGTGCAATAGCCGCAATGCTTGTAATAAATGTTCGCTTTACGATCCAACTCCTGTGTGTGCCAATGACTCACGCGATCCCTCTGCGTGGGAAAGGCCAGCAATAAGGAAGTCTTAGGTCCAAAACATCCAATATTCAACTCCCAACTCCCAATTGTTATTCGAAGATGAGGCCCGACACGATCTGTCGCTGGGCATTACACAGCACCTAAGCGGATTGGATTCTAATTAGCGGCCGCTTTCAATTAAATACCCATCTATTCGTAGCCGAAACGGCCTCGGACTCGGACTCGAACTCGGAATCAACGCCTGACATTGATGAATGTGCTCGCCGCCAAAGACACGAATTCGGTGTTCCACCTGGCAGATACAAGCCAAAGTACACGCCAGAATCCATTGGCGGGGTAAATTATTTAATTTTTACTCATTATGTAAGCTCGGTTTGCAGTAAAAGTGCCGAAAGCATTTGCACAACGTGTGGGAGCCGGTGGAAAATGGATTCACCATCATCAGCCACCAGCAGCAGCCAAAAATTCAATTAAGCTGAAGATGCGCCTGAGCAGACTCTCGACTCTCGATCCCATCCCATCCAGCAACGCGCCAAAAAATGCCAAAAACCTGGCAGAAGCTGGTGCAGCACAAGAGGCAGCTACACAGAAAAAAAAAGATATAATTCATATTTATATACATATTTATAATATATCAAGCTTTTATTTTTGCTAAGCAATTTTAAGTGATAGTTCCTGGTTTCTATCACTTAAAATTGCTTAGCAAAAAATAAAAGCTTATAAAGCTATATTTAATCATTTCAATTTGGTATTTAAATATCAAAAATAAATTTAGCTAAATAACCATACAAACAAACTCATCTTTTTTCATTCTTTCATTCATTTCATTATTTTTTCTCCGTGCCCTAACGAGTGACGATGATTGCGATTGGGACTCGAGCGGGAATTGGAAACCCAGGTCGTTGAGTAATTGTGCAGCAATGAGCATGGGCTGCCAGTAGATTTTCCCGTTGATAAAGTGCAGCTCTCGGAAAACCTTTGGCAGCGTACCGCTCATAATAAGAAATTGCATAGGTACATATAAATGCATTTACACACATATAATTTCGCATTGGCTGGCTAAGATTGGGATGGGGATTCGGGGATGAGGATTCGGATTCGGATTGCACGTGGCAGAGACAGCCGCAAATGGAGACGGAGACGCAGCTGTGCAATTTACAGTTTTATGGATGCGACGCCGCTTGCGAAACGCAAGCTCGGTGGGATTGGATTGGATAGGAATGGGTCAGTCAGACAGACGGACATTCGGACATTTGGACATTGGGACACTGGTCAGTGAGCGGACTGCCTGCTAATTTGACGCATTGCCGTGATGCGGCACATTTAAAAACTGCAAGCCGTAATCCAAAAACTCACTGTACAAACGAATGACTTAGGAAACGAACTCGTTCCTATATAACTTTTGTGTGGTTTTACTTATTATAACTATTTTTGGGAAGCTTACTCTAAAATTATATTTTTATTACTTTTGTTCTTACAAAATGACAGAACTTTTTAGCGCAGATTTGTTACCGACAGAATGCTCATATGTTATATATAAAGGTCACCATTAAGTTTGAATGAATTGAAATGATTTGCAAATGGTTGAATAGAAAGTAAATAAATGTAAAACTTTTAGTTGATTTTTGTATAATAGAATGATTTAGTAATCAAAAAGTAAAATAAAATAAATGAACTGTTGCGCATGCTAAAAAATTTACTAAACTGCTGAAGTATATGAAACGAAGATTTATTTATTAAATTCAATAATTTTTAGGAAGCATTTAGTTAATCGACATCAAGTGCAATTAGCTTAAAAGCATCCTCTGGAAAAAGCCTATAGCCATAACCATACGCTCACCAAGTAAATTCAAACTGGTTTTATTACTGAGTCCATAAAAAAATCAGTTTCAATTAAAAACACTGGCGTTATGATAAAGATTAAAAAAAGAGTAACAAATTCTACTTATATGATGTTAAAAATGATATCAAAACAATAGAATTAAATTAGCAAATGAAACTTTTCAAAGCATAAATGGAAACAGGTTTAGTACCTGCGTCTATTGACAGTCAATAGATTCAAGCATTCTAAATTGCATTTACTGGCACTCGTAAACCGACTTAAGCTGCCATAAGCAGAGCCAACACAAAGTCGAAATTTGCATAAAATGTGCATTAGCCACCCCCTCCGCCTCCGCCACCGCCTCCGCGGACCAGCGACCTCGCCACCATCATCATTATCACCATGGAGCCATGGAGCCAAGAGCTATGGAACCAAACTGCAACTGGCAACTGGCAACCGTACCAAGATCTCATACCATCCCAAGGCATTGGATCGGCCACACCAAGGCGCAACTTGTGCCGAAATCTGCACGACGAAACGTGAGAAAATGTTATAGTCATTGCAGTTGCTATGCCGTGTACATAGAGGCGAAATAAGAAAATAAATAATAAAAAAATATTTGCTAAATTATGGGAATGAATGGGTCGGACGGATGGGGGGTGGCGGGCGGCAAAGAATCCGGCGCTCCAACTTGCAGATGCTGCGGTCTCTGTGACTAATTGCATGCCCATACAAATGCACTTTTCGTAATGTTGGAATATGTGTGAATTATTATGCAGTCGAATCTTCATTGTAATCATGTTAATGAGCTTTCCGGAGATGGAGCTGGCATGTTCGTGATTCTTCTGGCCAGAGATTCTAAGCCAAATGCCAAATGGCCAATGCGCCGGCTAAAGCTGACCAGGATGTTGAGCTTGGGCCTTGCCGATACAACTTTTATTTTATGTTAATTCAATTAGGCGGCGACTTTTGTCACCCTACAGCAGCAGCAGCCACGTTGTCTTTCGCCAAACTCTGCCCATCGCTCGGTCTTCTTCACTTTACCAGCAGACATCTTGCCCAAAAATCGTTTTTGAGGAGCGCCACTTGCTGATCGTTTGTTTGCCAAAAACACGACAACAACGCCAGGCACCACAGAAACGTCTAGCGACACAACAGCAACTACACTCAGAAAAATATCAAGTTCTAAAAACTTGACTATTATATTTTAAATTAAATAAAGGATATATATGTTTTCGAAGGGAAAGAAATGTTATTTACTCCAAGTAGAACCTAGGACTTTCATGAAAAGGTATATATAACAGACCCACTTTTAAGATCAATATTATGACGGACTTAAAAACCAAGTTATTATTTTCTTCAGTGCACAAAAGCAACTGCGAGGGCTTCGCTCGTTGCTGATTTATGCGTTTTGCAGCATTTAAATTGGCATTTATATCAAACTGCGGTAAGGGTAAGTAATATTTTGTTTAATACACTTTGGTTTATTTGTTTTATAAGCGTCCTTGGGGTTTGTCGTCTTCGACACTTTCCCGCCAGAGTTTCTTTCCCATGGCTGCCACTCGCATCTGATGATGATGATGATAGTTTCGAATGCAAAGACTTTTTATATATTCGCTTAATGGTCGCTCTGACTTTATTGAGCCGAACCAAATTAGTTAATTGTTCCACAATCACTTGCATGTTTGGCAATCCCTGGCGCGGTGTAAATTACTCATTACTCTTCCCCAACCGAATTCAACTTTGATCGCTCAGCATTTCTGGTCAGAATCGACCAGATGCAAACTTAGCTTGCCGCTCACAAATATCTGCAAATCCTCAATAGCAGATCTTGAGCCAGCATATGCAGACAAAATGCCAGTGGCCTTGGCGCAAGCTGAGAATGTTGCTGATGCAGCAGCAACATGAGCACAGCAGCAACATCAAGACAGCAGCAACTGCAGCATCCACTTCCACTTTTGACGATGGCTGAATCTTTCGAAAGCTGCCAAATCCGTTCGGCTTTCAATGGCTGTTATAGTTTCAGTGCGAGTCTCCGTTTTTTACTGGTTTATGTGAAAAATCACATCACCTCTCGTCAGCCAAACGAATTGCCCAATAGGCAGCAATGAAAATGTGTTGGCGTAATTAATTAAACAAATTATGTGCATTGCGCAGACGCATTGACGTTTTTGGTGCAGGCGATTTTTATTAATTTCACTTAGCGGTGGGAATGCAGCAAAACTATAAAAAGTGCATCAGCGGCAACAAGCAGTGCACTTTTGGTCAACCAGTGATTACAATTGCGGCCGTAAACGTTTGGCAATGTGGCTTTTACGTTCGGCGGCCATATAGGCAACTTATGGGCACACCTGGCATCTCAACTCCCGAACCCAGTACTTTGTGCCATTTTGGGCCAGAAATTCTTCACCGGCCAACTGCAGCTGGCTTGTCATTTATTGTTTGCTCGAAACGCGGCTCAATCAATTATTAATTATACGCCTCGTTGTACTGGAGTGGCAACCATTGTCTGCAACATCTTCATATCGGACAAATCGCCGTGGCTCCCCTCTGGCCATTTTCCACTTTAAGCTGCCGAGGTGTTTGGCAACATTTAACAACCGCATCAAAATTAGTTTCGTTATTGTGTTAGCCTTCGGCTGCCCAACTTCAACTGAAAAATCTGAAATCGAATTGATTTTTTACGTGCGTGCGGTTGCCGTGACTGAGTGCGTGTGGGAAAAGGCCATTTAGGTGGCCCGGAAATGCAGATGGCCTGCAATTACGGCTGCAAATAGGCGTCTCCAAGATCCCAGATCCAGACCAGACTCTGCCCCAGACTCCCATTCAGATCCACCATATGCCGCCGACGCCGTGGCACAAAAACCATGACACAAAGCCACTTGGCGGGCTGGCGGCATTTGGCGATCGCTAAAAGTCACATTGTTGACCTTTTTGCGGTCTTGGGGCCGCGTGGAGAAAAGGTTTCTGTCTCTTCTGAAGTCCCTGTCGCTCTGTGCGGCTCATTAAAATAATATTTAACCTTTGGAGAAGACAAATACTTGTTGAATATGTTGGTTTGCCGAGATATTTTCCGTTTTCGAACAGCCGAACGAACAGCTCTTTGTCGAGAGCCAACGAGCCATGGGCAATTAAAAATTAACTATTTACTTTTAATGCGCAAAGGTTGACGCCGACCCCGGCCCCGCCCCCTTTTCTTGGATCTTCCGCCCGCCCCTCCCTACGTTTTGCCAGCTAGTTACCAGTTGAATTCCATGTTTAACGAGTTTTGACAGCCGCGCATTTGTGTGCCTTTTGCGTTTGCCTTCATCTGCTCATTTGCAATGGCATGCAATTGCGATGGCAATGTCTGTGAATTCCGTATAGCAAATACCTGAAGACCTACAAATTCCATACATTTTAAAGAAATTCATTTGCTAAAGGTAAACTATTATTTCAGCTGGGTCATCTTAAACGATATCTATAACACGAAAGGTTTAAAATCAATACTTTTGACAAGAATAATTATATACAGATGGGGTTATGTTTTTCTCTTATTAATTATTTAATATTAATAAAACAGAAAACGGTTAAAATCATTTAACAGAAATAGTAATACACTAAAAATGTGTGTCAACTTTTCTTATATGAAATAATTTTAGATTTTATATACATATATCAAGTATAGTAAGAAATCCCCAAGAACTATTTTTGTACCTCCCAATTACTATCAAACATTTTAATGGACTAAAACCCCAAAAGAAAAGAGCATATTGAGTATGACTAACTCACCGACTGCGTTTCTGCCCTCCTGTCGCAGCTGACATTCATCCGGCAGCGATCTCGCCGCTGAACCTGACCTATACGCGCCGTTCACACGCTGAGTGGACTATGTTGGTGGCCGAGGGGCGCGTTCTCCACCAGCCATGACATCAAATTGCAGCACACCCATCTTGGAAAAATTGTAGAAAGAAAAGAATAGTGGCACGTGGATTTGTAATCAAATGTTCAAGTTTCTACGATTGATCAAAATTTCACAGTGCAAAATCCGTCTCCACTAAGTTTTTGGCTTTTCCATAGACCAAAATGATGGCACGAATCGTTTTCAGCTATCTCCTATGTGTGACAGTCTACAGCATAAACATGTTGGAGTACTACCAAGTCGGCCAAAATAAAAAGCCACGAGGCATTGACGATGAGATGTACTACATAAAACCAAAGTGAACCAATAATCGGAAACAGCAACAGCTTATTAAGAATGTATAGTTTTAATAGGAAGAGATGATATTTGGTTGCGGTTCGTTTACGATTGCTTCTCCTTCCGTCTGGCCTGCAGCACACTGCGCAACATGTTGAAGGAACTGAGCACGGGCACCATGATGGGCAGGAAGAGTGGAATGTAGATGGCGTACTTCTGTTCGTCGGGGAAGTACAGCTGGGCCAGCAGACTGGCATCGAAGAACCCCCGCTCCGAGGCCACAAAAGCCCGCTTGGCCATCATGGAGGCATCGGCCAGTCGGTGCTCCAGAAGAGCAGCCTTGGCGGCCAAGATGTCGGAATACGAATTTGTTATTGCGGCGCCCACCTCGTCGTCTATCACAATGTAGCTGATTTGATCTAAACGAGAGGTGGAAGAGAATATTATTATACGGTTTAAGTTGGTTATTAAACTCATCATGCAGTACAAACTTAATAAGACATAAACTTAATTAAAAGTTACTTTATTATCGGATCTTTTACGGAACAGTTAATTTATAGGCATGGAATAAGACAATTTATAGAGGCTAAACAAAATATATTACTTCTATACACTTACTTAAGTTGATATTTGTTTATACCGATGCAGATTTATATTCTAATTCTGGTTAATACAATCTCTTCTGACAAAAAAAATGTGCTATCAAAATTCCGCTTTTTCCTTAATTGTTTTTTTTTAATTTATGGATGGAAGACTTACCCAAAAGCTTTATGAGACTCTGGAGGGTGCTGCTCGCCGTGGCAATGTGGCGAATCGCGCTGCGCCGTAGGTAAGCTTCGTACTCCCAGCGACGAGGCTCGAGTTGCTCGATGTCCACCGCCTTGACGCCTTCCATCTGCAGCTCGCTGCTAATGTCGAGGAGCTTGTGCAGCTGGTCCAGCATCACCTGCATGTTGTCCGTGGTGCTCACGTGGTAGGGCACTGGCTGCTGATCGCTGACGGCCGCCAAACAGACATGTTCCGGCGGATTAGCTATGATGAAGCCGCCCCACGGCGGCGAAATAAAGGCATCCACGCCGTTCCGCGTCAGCCGCTGCCCCTTGCTGTTGTAGATGTGCAGCGGAGCCGTGTGGCAAGGTGGAATGTACACCACTAGATTGATTGCCGGCTTGTCGGTGGTGCTGGCGCTCAGGTTCTGGGCAATCGAGGTAAGTAAATGAGGCAGGGAGGATTCCTGCAGGGCATAGTGTCGCCCCAATTTGCTCTGATCGCGAACCTGCTTGAAATCTGCCTCGATGGACACCCGGTACTTCCACTGCGATCGCACAGTATAGTTGGATACGCCAGACACCTGCGCCAACCAGGGTTCAATATAAGCTGCAAGAAATGGTGATAAGCATGAGTAAAGGCTGACATTCTAAGATTCCTTAACGCTTACTTCTCACAGCCATGGCAATGTTCCACTGGGCGTGGGTAAGGCGAGGTTTCGGATTCAAGACGGAAACAATGACATCGTAGGCTGGTTGCGGCGCTTCCGACTTTGCTCCCATCCTCTCGTCTGTACTCAATATTTGATTTATGCGATACGTCTGCAGGATCTTAGCATTTAGCAGCTGGGCGATCTTGTTAGAAGCTAAAAAGGATTAAATACAATAGAGTTTATGCATAGAGTTGATAAAAGTTTTTATTTCCCATAAAAATTTTGTCTGTTTTTTCATATTCCTCGATAGTATAGTGGTTAGTATCCCCGCCTGTCACGCGGGAGACCGGGGTTCAATTCCCCGTCGGGGAGATAAGTTATCAAAATTTTTTTTTTTGTATTCCAAAAATATTTGTTATATTTATATAAATAATACACTATTTATTTCAATAATTCAATTCTTAAATATAAATATAACAAATATTTTTGAAATACAAAAATAAGAAAAAATTAAGACTTATCTCCCCGACGGGGAATTGAACCCCGGTCTCCCGCGTGACAGGCGGGGATACTAACCACTATACTATCGAGGACCTTGAGAATCTAAGATCAAATTTTCGATATTTTAGGACATTAAAGCATATATAAAACAAATATCATTAATATGCAGTGGTTTTCTTAGCAATGTTAAGCAACTATATTTATAGAATCTTCGATCAATATAGAATGTACTTACTTGTATCACTTCGCATTAGGGCCGATCGTTCGGTGGTCAGCAGCAGTTCCTCTTGCAGCTTCGGCCACTCGATAAACATAAAGTCGCCAACACTCTGGATATTCTCCTCCAGCAACAACTTCTCCAGAGCCGCCGGTGTATGAGCCTCCTGGGTCTTGGTTGTTGGGGACAGTTGCTTGAATTCCACAGTCCATATTTCTATAGATTAGTAAACTTAGTATTCAAAAATCCTTGACTGGAGATGCAGTTACCCACCGCTGTCGCTAAAGGCACTCTGAAGTTCCGCGATGAGCAACTGACCACGACTGGGCTGCTGTGTGTAGATGGCCACCTGCACAGCCGTTTTGATGGGGGTTTCACTCAGGCTCAGAATGGCCGACGAGGGCAAATTGACTCTGTGCATAAAATAATCCAAAATGATTGGAAAACGCCGCCAGACATCATTGACTCACCTATAAACAGTGGTGGTTCGCCACCACATTGGCACGCCAATTCCAATGATGACCACGATGAAGGCAACTGTGGCCCCGATTCGGAACTTATCTGTAAAGTCAAGGAAAAGTGTCTGATTAGATAAGTTTTTCGATTCTCAAGGTACGGTGCGGTTCTTGGCATTTATCCAGATCCAGCTTATAAATAAATAAAACATTTTTTTTGTGATTTGTATAAGTTTTATTATGTAAATTAGTTTCTGTACAGTAGAAAGGTATGAATGTTGATACTCCTTTAGAAGTAATTGTGCGCATGTTGTGAATTAAAGTCACATGCTACTCCTTGTAGCTGCAGGAAATAACAAAAACAGGACCCTTCTCCAGGGGCGTGTTGCGCGACACGTATTTGGTGAACTTGGTAGTGCCCTCGCATCGGTACACTATGTTTAGGGCGTTGTCCACCGGCGTTATGGTGAGCAGCACGGACTCGTCCTCCTCTTCTCCATCGTAGTCCGATCTTCTTCCATTCGGTGGTGCCTTTGCGGCGGGCATTTCGGAGTCGGGCGAGAGGTAAGTGATCACCGCTGCACCTTCCGCCGCGTTCAGGTAATAGACCAGGTCCAAAGTGTTCTCCTCGCTTGCCAGACCGTCGCCCAGCACTGTGTAGTTGCCGTGGGACCAGCGCTGCAGCTCCACGCTGCAGGTTGGGCTCTGGGCATCGGCGCCAGCCAAATCTAGGTCGGTGAAATCACGCAGCAAGTCGAACATCGCGTGGCAGCGAAACAGTTGCAGCAGTTCCAGTATGGTGCCTCGAGCCGTTGCCAAATCCAGAACCTCGTAGTTGTGCGCGTTAGCGGGTCCTTGTCTTCGCCACTTCAGAGTGTCCGAATCCGCCAGCAGCTGTGACCGGGCCAATTCAAACTTTTCTCGCTTGAAGAATTCGTACAAGCAGATTTCAGAGTTCTCTTCGATCCGCTTTTGAATGCTTCGGCGTGTGGCGCTCTTTAGATACACATTATTCAGGAAAAGGCCCAGCGGTGGCTTATTCATGATATCGGGCTGCAGGTAGTTCAGGCGAGGAAAAGCGCGCATGGAGTCGGCTACGAAGGCCTCGTTCGTTTCGCCGTGAAACCAGCCGTTGATGGTCAGACGCGGGTAGTCAAATGTGGTTACTTCGCCCACCTGGTGGAAGGAGCGCGAGCCCACCTTAAAGAAGGCGAACTGGTTGTCTTTGGGGGCGATCTTTCGCTGCACCGGGAACTGGGGGAAGCATTGGTCGTCGCTGCCGAAGATCTCCAGACAGCCTCCCTGCGACTCCGACCACTCCTCCGCTCCTTCCCAGGGCGAAAGGTAGTAGATGAAGGCTACCTGCCGGTCCTTCAGAAGGTCATCGTGCACGAGCAGATAGTCGCCGCAGGTGTACATGCTGCAGGAGGCGGACACGTAATCCAGTTTGAGGTTTGTCACCTTCTCCAGCCAGGGACGAACTTGTTTGCGGAGCACCTGCAGGAAGTTGGTCAGCAGCGGGCAAGTGGGCATGTTGGAGAGGTCGGAGCTCTGGTAAAATTCGTACAGGTCCATTTGCTTGCGCGACCACTGCACTTTCTGGATGATCTCGGCGACCAGCGCTTGGCTCTGACCCTGTTCTAACATGCCAGGGAGGAGGCAGATCTGGAAGGGATCTGCGAACACCTGCGCCCCGGTCTGATCCTCCTTGGTTCCTTGGTGCTTCTCGGCCGTCCAGGCCGTCTGAAGCCACTGTGTGAGTTTTGGCTGCTGGTAGGCCTCGTTAAGTAGCACTTCCTTTGCCTCAGGAGTCTCTCCTAACCGCAGGAGCTTCCTATGCGGTTCACCCACCTGGTCCTTAGCGTCCTCCTCCTCTGCGCGACCATCTGCAAGAGCAACGTAGTGAATGGGTTGGCATTAAGCGGGGAAAACAGGGGCATACCTTAAACTTTAATTTGGCTGTTTTAAACGCACACCAGAACTCACACACGCGTTATCAAGGGTAAAAGGCACCCGATGTGCCGGCACATCTCGCTTTTTCGTTTGGGATTTGGGCGGATTTCTCACTGTTTCCACTTACCTTCTTCCTTGTCTTTTCGCCTGGGCTTTACCGGACTGGAGCTCGTCGTTTCCATTGTTCTGTGGGTCTAAATTTCGGGAAAAAACGTGAATCTTTGCCAGAAAAAAAAAATTTGGCTTGTGCAGCTAGGGATGTGCAGTGGAAAGTATCGGTTGGGTCGTGCTAGTGGTGGCATATTAGCTAATTTAAGGCTGTATTGTCTAAAGTCTCCAATTTGTAATATTTATAACCAAAATTTGTGAAACACATATTTCTTCGGCTTAAATTTGCATGGTCACTATTATATCTTTTAATTTATTTTGATCGAAGCGTAGTAATAATAATTATATCGAAGGCTCGTTTTAAGCTCCAACCCAATCCTACAGAGCGTCACTACCCAATTCCCGCAGAGCGCCTTTCACCATCCATTTGGAGGGAATGGTCCATAAAGTCTTGCCGTGAAAATAATTTAGTCATATTTAGTAATAAAGTTAGTCCTAGTTAGTGCATTAACGTTCCTAACCTCCTGTTTCTATGTGGTTTTGCCGATGGTTTTTTATGCTAAAAGTTATTAGTTGGCCACCCCAAGAAACATGCCAAGCCAATTCAACTAGTACAACGAGCAATTTTCGTGCTATTTCTTTATATTTTGAAAGTCTGTATATTTTTACTGATCCAGATTTTGACTTCGTACCAGGGCAGTCATGAATATAAACACCAAACGTATGTATTTATGTATCGCCGACATCTCTTGTGTCCCGTGCCTTTTCGTGCTCTTGCCCAGTTAAATCACGCACGCATCCCTAGGTAATAATTAACTAACAATCGCAAGTTTTACAACACTAGTTCTAGCTAGATCGGCTCCACGTAAATAAAGTTTTGGTCTGCGGAACTTTAATGATTGCTTATCGCGGAGGCAAACAGGTGGATTGCTTATTTTATGGCAGTAAACCGTCAAAACGGACGTGGACATAGCCGGTAAATGGAAACTAAATTAGAAAATATAATTGGCGGGATTTAAATTCCAATTGGAACAGCCAAAGCCGTCGGATGACCTTGGAAGAGGCGGAGCAACTAGCCCGCCCTATAATAAACAAAAACACTTTCATGCGTTTCGCTGGAATGTTTATGTAGATTGTGTAAATAAATACGAGCAATAAGCGTGTGATAGTGTGTGTGTTAGGGCCAACAGCTGATTCCGCCACCTGATTTTTGGGGCTGCGGGTGGGACTTCTGTATTCTTACGATGATCTCATTTGTCTTGGAAACCGGAGCAAAAGCTAAAGCAATCTGACATGTGTTTTTTCGCTATGTGTTTCCTATAGCTACACAGACTTGGAGGAGTCGGATGAGCAATGGGCAAGGATCAACATTTGCTGGAGGCATCGCGAGGCGGCGACATCAAGACGGTAGACAAACTGCTGGATCACTCAAGCAAACGCCATGGGCCCTTGTCCAGGTGAGTCATCATATGCACCTGTTATACATATGTATATTAAACACCCCTTCTATTCCCAGCTTTCGGCGAAGTCCCAGCATTAATTGCCAGGACATGAATGGCTACACTTCGCTGCACCACGCTTGTCTAAATGGCCATGGTAACATTGTGCGGCTACTCCTGTCCCACAATGCCTTGCTGGATGTTCCCGATATACGCGGATCTACGCCCCTTTTCCTGGCCGCTTGGGCGGGGCACCAGGACATCGTCAAGATGCTGCTAATGCACACTCCCACGGGGGCCAATCCAAATGCTCAGACCATCGAAAACGAAACGCCGCTGCACTCGGGGGCCCAGCATGGTCACAACGCCGTGGTGGCCATATTGCTGTCCTACGGGGCAGATCCCGCCATACGCAACAATAGCTTTCAAACGGCCCTGGATTTAGCATCTCAATTTGGCCGTCTACAGGTGGTGCAGACCCTGCTACGCATTGATCCCGACCTGATATTGCCATACAAACGTTTTGAGGAGGACGAGGAGGAGCTTCTGGGCTGCTCGCCCATTAAACACATCTTCACCCATACCTGCTTGCACCTTGCCAGCCGAAATGGACATAAAAAGGTGGTGGAAACGCTGCTGGCGGCCGGCGTCGATGTCAACATACTCACCCATGCGGGAAGCGCCCTCCACGAGGCAGCCCTCTGCGGGAAAAAGTCCGTGGTGGTCACCCTGCTTAAGGCCGGGATCTACGTGCACGCTACCGATGGAAACGGGCGAACAGCCCTGGACATACTCTCCGACTATCCGCCTCATGTGACCTACGATATTGTGGCTGCCATCAACGGTGCGTATAAGTAGTTTCCCGGAGAAAGAGATGCAATAAAATGGCTTACTTGCTGCAATTATTTATCTTTTTTGATACCTGTAAAACATTTTACCAGTTCATATAAAACGTACAATAATAAAACACTAACATACTAATCAGTCCAAATTTTGTAAACAATTTACTTTCAAATTCCAATTTTAAAATATTTTTCCATATTCATGCGAAAGTCTTTTCACAAACTATGCTTAAGTTACTTAAAAGGTATATTTGTTATGTTTAAAGTATGCAGCAAATTGATCATATTTTCCTTTTTGCTTAACTAACATTAATTTAAATTAAATAAATTCAATAAATACTGTCTTAAAGCTTTCGAGACAGTAAGTGATAAAAAGAGTAACATGTTAAAAAGCCTTTGCTCCCCCATAAAAAATGTGGAAGGCGAACTTATGGAAAAGTTCCCCTAATTTAACCAAGATGACCCAAACTCTAATGGTGTTGTTAATCGTCTTCCTCCCACGATCTTTTGCAGAGTTCACCCAAGCGGCGAGGGAACAGCAGAAGCCTGTTGTTGTGGAGAACGGTACGCAGTCGCTGCCCAAGCGGCTGTACGAGAAGAACTCTCAGCGCCAGAAGCTGCCGCCCAGGCAGAGGAAGTAAGCCCAGCAACACCATGCTCTGCAATACTGAGACACACACCCACATCTTTGCTGACCCTAATTAACTTAGCCCGCAGCTCATGTCATTCGGAAAGCGCACTCATCCCCACTCGCACTCGTACCCACTCTCATGTCCACGCCCACTAGCCCTAGCACTCATCAGAATCAACTTCAGAATCGGTTGTGCGTCTCTTCAATTAACTGGTCTGGTCTCGTTTGGTCTCTTTTCCATAACCACCCACTCACCCCTCGCCATGTAGAAAGCAAGATCACCAAGCCAACGGACTTTCGCACTCTTTAAGCTCGCTGGACGTTTTCGGCAAGGCGCCGGAGAACTATCTGCAGATGAAGCCCATTGTGCAGCAGAAGTCCTGCGACGACATGAACTGTATTCGAGGGGATGGCACTGATGCATGGGCCAGCTACAAGCCGGTGTACAAGCAGCAAATGCTGCCAATCTTTCGGACCTTTAACGACGTCTCTAACGGATCGGTTCCCTCGCGATCGTATGAGTACATTAATATGCTGAGGAACGGATCTACCAGCGATGAGAACTCCGCTAGCACCAGAAGCAACAGTACGTAAAGTTTTTAAAAACACCTTTAGGAAACGCCAATTACCAACACCAGTAGGTGGTATACTACGCTAACTTAGAATGACTGATAATCATGAAATAGTATCATTGAAAGTAAAACAATCCATTCATTATTAATATGAAAATATTAATCGCCTTTTAATTTCAGAGAAGAAATAAGTTATTAACAAAGTCTATATTCACAGAAAAACAAAAGGAATATGACCTAAAATAGCTAGTGAGTCAATCAAATAAACATCTGGTTTTGTGCCCATTTACAGCTGTGGTGCGTCAACAAGCGGTGGCTTCGTATGTGGAGATGACGCTGCCATCGCCACCGGTTCCCAAACCACGCACTCGAATAAACGGCGAATACAACGACTATGCGAATCTGGTGCCAATAGAAGAAGGCAGCTGCGTGTTAGCCGTGGACAATAACAATAACAGCAAAAAATTGCGATCGGTTCGCCATTCACCCACGCCGGATTATCCGCCACCCACGGTCACGGAGGCGGAGCGCACGATCTTCAGCTTTATTCAGCCGGTGACGTTGCGCCAGAACGGCCTTCTGGAACCGGGGGAATCCCCGCGGACCACCACCTCGGTGAGCTCCGACCAGGTGGAGGAATACGTGGCCGACAATCCGTTCGCTGGACTGTTTAAGGGATCAACTCTGAACTTGTCCTCGGATGTGGTAGATGGAAAAGTTGGTTTGGATCGGGAGTTTCTCCGATCGCCCAGCATGGTGAGGTCTGCACACGCCCAAAATCACCGACGCAGCCTCTCCAGGCAGCGATTCTCGGCATTGGGAGAGGACTTCAGCGCCTCGCGGGTTTTGGCGGAGATCGATACCATTTTCAAGAACATCGGTCACGAATTGTCCGCAGTCGATCAGAAAGCTGAAGAGCTGTTAGACGAGCCAACATGTCTGCCTTTGGAGGATTCGCGGCAATCGTTGCACATACGGGATCCGGCAGAACTGCTTCTGGGCAGAAAACAGAGCGCCACCTCCAATTGGTGCCACTCTCCATACACCCTGATTTATGGTGAAATACGATATTCCCTGTTTGTGAGTATATTTTGGGATTACGCTTTTACAAGTTTATGTTTATAACTTACCTATTTATTCCAGTATCTTGGCTCGACTGTAATACGACAGCTACAGGGCACCCTGTCAACTCGCAAATCCATTCAGAAGCTGAAGATAGATGAGAACATGAAGTCGGCTGCGAGTGTCAGTGATTTCAGTTTGCTCGAGAACTGCACCTCATCCACAAAGTATCTGAAAGCTGCCAATCTCCAGACGCGTCTCAATGTGGACATTGCCGTTTCCTGCATCGGCGTTAAGTTCATAGATCATGAGAAAAAGGTTAATATATTGTTAATATATTTATTTACAAATACAGCATCTTTACTGTTTTTCAGACTGCCATTTGTTGCCATGATATCGAGAACATTAATTGCGTTTGCCAGGACTCGGAAGATTTGCGCTACTTTGCCTACATAACCAAGGAACGGGATCTGCACTATTGCCACGTCTTTATGGTGGATAGCTTGGTTTGTAATTTGTTGAATGGTAAAACCCATCGTAGGCTAATCATTCCTTGTCAACAGGAGCTGGCTAAGGAAATTATTCTTACACTGGGACAGGCCTTTGAAGTGGCCTATCAATTAGCTCTGAGCAGACAGGGCACTCCCCTGAACGAGATGTGCTAAGCCATTAAAGTGCCACAAGTGTTAATTATTTATTTTATTGCATTTCACATGTAAATGTATTTTTCATTTGCTAGTCCTTGATGCCATCTTGATGCTGGCTTCTCTTCACATAAGGCAGCTCACATGTTAAGTATTTTGAGTTTTTTAAATAAATTTATTACACAAAATTATATTGTTTCTTGATGTTTAAACAGACCGTGCAACAAAATAAATAGTTGATGTTACTGAAAAATTAATTTTACTAAATGTTAATTTTAAGTAAGCACACACTTGTAAGGCGGAGAAACCAGAAAACCAAAATGGTTGTTTAAACGAATTTCGGAATAATCTTATAGTAATAATAAAAAGTTCTTGTTGAGAATCGTTGGAAAGTTGATACACTGATCTATGGAAACAAACTTTAAAAATAAGAAATATTTTCAGACTGCTAAATTCGTATACCTACAAATTCAAAAAAAAAGCGTTACGGTTCCAATACCTTACAGCACTGACTCTTATCTAGTATTTTTTTGGAATATTCTGAAACACAGTTTAGTATATTGCCTAAGCGGGACCGTATTTTTTAAGAAACCAGCAGCGGTTACACCCTGCTTCAAAAAAAACGTACAGATTAAAAGAAATATCACTGGCATTTTGCGTCTATTTAATAGAAATCCGATAGATACAGCTACAAATGGACTCGAATATGGGTAAAATTAATATGAAGTGTACATACCTCCTGAAATCTAGCATGCTTACCACTTATTACTGCAGATAATCCACCAAACGATGTTAGCGTCGTCTTGGCGCCGAGTGCGCAGAAAAATAAGGACGCCAATCGGAATGGAGAAGTTTCAGCCGCTGCGGGCACTCCAGTGGCCAAAAAAACACGAGGAGCCTCCCTCAGGCTGATGAACGCCACCTCGGAGATGGAATCCCCAACTGGCACTACGGGCAATCCTCGCCCGACCGCCGAAACACCGCGACGCAGCTGCCGCAAAAGTGTACGTCCTACGATCGACTACGATGATATTATAGTGCGATCCGCCAAGAAGGTAATAGCCGAATCACTGGCTGCCGACCCTGAGGATGAGGAGCCCTCCACCCAAAAGTGGAGTGCTGCCGAGGTGGGCAGGAACTCGCGCAAGCGCAGCCGCAAGTCCAAGCGCATGACCACAAAGAAGAAGAAAATGGAACATGAGGTTCTAGAAGTGAGGGTCGAGGAAGAGCAGGAATTAGAGCAAGGAGTTCTGGAGGAAAAAGAGGAGGATAAACAGAAAACAGACCTGGAAGTTCCTCAGGATCAGGCAGATACTTTTAAAGTTGAAACAGACAATATAGAAAAAGTGGATAAGCCCCCATCGAAGAGGAAGTCCTCCAGGGCATCTAAAAACGTAACTAAATTCAAATGTATCGTTGCCAAGACGGATATAGATGAACTGGGCTTGTGTCCACTGGGTGCTGATAGCCAGGAAGTCGATGACACAGAGACTACAAAAACAGCTTCACAAGATAACGATGAAGATAAGGTAGTTAAAGATGAAAAAAAAGATGATAAAATCGAAGAAAAAGTTGAAAAATTCAACGTACTAGCTGGAAAGGATGAAGTTACAGAAAAGGCAGTCGAAGACAATGTCCACGAGGAAACTGTTCCGGAAGAAGAAATGCCTTCTCTGCTTATGGAAAATGATGATCTGGATGAACCAGACAAGTCGCCGCTCAACACTACATTCGACGCAGATGAGAAAAAAGATTTGGATGTAAGTGTTATTTTGGTTGTTGATCCCGTCAAGCAACCAGAAGATATCGATGCCAGCGTTATCATTGTTGACAGTCCCAATAAGCCAAGTGTTTGCGTTCCGAAACCCGAATTTGTTAAGAAGTCGGCAATTAAAGTTGTTCTTACCACAGAAAATGATCAGAACGAAACAATTTTGGATCTAGCCGATCTAGCTGTGCCAGAGGAGTTAAAAACCGAATTTGTTAAGAAGTCGGCAATTAAAGTTGTTCTTACCACAGAAAATGATCAGAATGAAACAATTTTGGATCTAGCCGATCTAGCTGTGCCGGAGGAGTTAAAACCCAAGAAACCGAAGGGCTTTCGATTCCCGACGCCCTATAAGCAAAAACCGGTGCTTATGTTTTCGGACAAATCAGATAAATTTGACCAAACATTTAAAGGTCTCAACAAGGAAGAAGGTCCGAAGTACGAACGCAAACGTTCCAAGTCGGCCAACGATTGGAATGATAACATGTCGTGCTCTGTAACCTTTCAGAGGTCCGTTGAGATTGCCAATGTCGAGGACATTGATAAGCGCTGGAAGGGACTTCAGAAAACTAGTGAGTTCTTTATAGTTTATAGGAATGAAGAGTCCTTTCTCAACTCACGTTTTCAGATGTTAATCTCCGCCGTAGGCGCTCAAAGTCGTTGGATGAGAGCCGCTGCAAAGTGAGCAGAATTCCGAAGCCCAGTAGAGGTACACAATCCAAAATATAAAAGTTCTCAGTAATTCAATTTGTTTCTCCTTCAGGAATTATACAGCTGACCAGAACCATTACACCCAGCAAGGTCAACAAGCGCACCAAGATGCCCAATTTTGCGGCCATGCACGAGAAGCAGTTCGCCAAGATGGAAAGCCTGCTGGATCACGTCGAACGGAAGGCAGAACGCGCCAAGGTGCTAACCAATTCAGTGCAGAAGCAACTACCGGGATCGACGGTCAAGAAACCACCACAGGGTCACACTTCTGAAGAAGATCGCCCTCGTCCGAAAGCGCTAAAACAGATCGACATGTCCGCCAATAGAACCATCGTAAAGGATCATATTGCCGAAAAGCTTAACACATCCCGTTTGCCCTTGAAGACCACCGCTCCCGCCCTAAATGTAGCCCCGAAACCAGCTTTTAATCTGTCCACCTCCACGGTGAAGACATTCAACGCCACGTTTACAGGCAGGCCGGCGGAATCTCAGGATAACAAGTTGGCGGAGCGACGCCAGCGGCGTATTGAAATGTTCAAGGGCAGGACAACAACAAAAGCCCAAAACGAAAAGGGAAACTTTATCCGAGGAGTACGCCTGAATAGACGATTTGAGCTCCAGATGCAACACCGTCGACACTTGGAGGAAGATTAGTTTCTTACGTTTGGTCGTTATTTCTTTATTTACTTAATCCTCTATTTGCTTTAATATGTTTTGATGGTATTTGTCAAAAAGGAAATTGTATTCTTGTTTTCCTTTGTCATATTTTGTACTCAAAAAAAAATTATTTTTATTTTAACCTTACATACACAAAATGATTCGTTTTTTAATTCGATGTTATTGCTTTTACAGAATTTGCTCAAAATTAAATTCGAAATTGATTGAAAAACAATATATATCCGGAATTACATTTACACTGTTCTCAGAATTTAAGATATTTGTCCACAAAAAAATTAATAAATACATTATTTTTATATGCTATAGGTTAAATGCTTATCTAAACTGTAAATAACTGTAATAACTTACAACTATTTCGAATACAAATTCCAGTCCGGCAGCGGTAAACTTCCAACACCACCTTTTCTCCTACGACTCTGGATTACAGAAATTAAGATGGCCGACAAGTTAATTTAAATTGTTTCGCGCCAAAAGAACCATCGGCTAAATTTCTAGGACTAACTGGGAAATATTTTGCATGGCAGAACTTTCTTAACGCACCTGGAGTAGACTTTACAACATTAAATGCATTGAAAAAATGGCTTGAAAAACTAATTTATTAGTTTGTGCCCAAGCTAGTGCCTCTTCCAACAATGGTCGTGTTGAATATTTTGACGCAGCAGGCATGGAAGCTCATTTCCAATCCCTTCCATTATTTGACAACTCTTTTTTCGAAGAACAGACAATTACACGTTCTTTTGTTCATTTTTTTACATTTGTGTTATTTTTTGTATTATAAATTGATAAAACTTAAACGTGACTACTACGTTTTTGTATATCAATCGAGATCAGTTGGCATCTCTGGCCGAATAACGGCGCTATTCGCGGATTCCATTCTTCTATCTTTTTCGCACTTCCTTTTTCGTCTCAAAACAAGTAGCGTACCCGTAATATGTGTGACGCAGCGAATTCAGCGAAGCCGTGGCAGCTTTCCGGTGTGTACGGCAATGGGATTCCGGCGCTGTGCCTGCTGCACCAGGAGATCGAGCAGTTCTACAGCTATATCCAGTCCACGCCCACGGAGTTCTATTTCAGGGCAGAGGCGGTGCGTCGCATCGAGGACGTTGTGCTTGCTATCTGGCCGGGCGCATGCGTGGAGGTCTTCGGCTCCTTCCGCACGGGGCTGAACCTGCCGGACTCGGACATCGACCTGGTTGTACACTATGGCCACTATTGGAACCCCGGAACCCCGTTGCACGAGCTTGAAAGCGAACTGGTGGCCCGCGGGGTCCCGGAGCCGGACACCGTGTGTGTCCTGGACAAGGCCTCCGTGCCGGTGGTCAAGTTTACTGAACGGGTCTCCCGGATCAAGTTCGATGTGACCTTCAATGCCGCCGCTTCCGGTGTCCAGGCCGCCGAGCTGATCAAGGAGTTCATCCGCCAGTTCCCCGAGCTGCCAAAGCTGGTAATGGTGCTCAAGCAGTTCCTCAGCCTCCAGGGACTAAACGAGGTCTACAGTTCCGGCGGAGTCTCCTCCTACGCCCTCACCCTCATGGTCATCAGCTTTTTGCAGCAGCAGGCGCGCAACAACAAGCGCTATACCAGCAACAACAAACTGGGTCTGCTGCTTTTACAGTTCCTGGACTACTATGGCCGCAAGTTCGACTTCTTCAAGTACGGAATCTCCGTGCTCGGAAACGGCGGTTGCGTAGAGAAAGAAAGATTGCGCTCCGCGCTGGGCGAGAACAACTGGCAGTCGGTACTCAGCATCGAGGATCCCGTGACGCCGGCCAACGACATCGGAAGAAGCTCCTTCGCGGCGCTGCATGTGATTCAGGGATTCGAGGCCGCCTTCTTAAAGCTTTCCAAGCTGGTGGACTCCGATTCGGCCAAGATCGTGGGCCCCATCCTGGCCAGTATTGTAGAGGTACCGCAGTCCATAGTCAACTACCGTGCGTGGGTGCACTACAACTTCCAGCACTTGTTGGGACCGGAATCATCTGCTCCCAATCCGAATGGTCATAGTCAGTCGGGGATCCCGAGCTCTTCCGTTTCCGCATCCGAGGACGAGCGCTCGGATGGCCAGCTGACTGTCCGGAACGGATTCCGCCGCTGCGGGGATGGTCCACCACAGAAATTAGACTTAGACCTAGCAAACCTTAAGTTGAATTAAGTATTTTTACGTTATGCTACTGGTGATTTTACTTTTATAAACTAATTATCATATTTTATTTGCATACTATTATGCTCGGCATATGAAAACTAAAAACAGCAATTACTTATTTTATTATTAACAATTTATGTGTAATTAAAAAAGGGAAAAATGTTTTCGAATGTAGTTCATTTAATTGACTAAACATACTGTAAAAGAAAATCCCAAAAAATGTAAAGCCTAATTGTACTTGTGACATATCTTAAATTAAATAAACATAAGACCCTTGTCGAACATACATATATACGCATAGCTGTGTGGTTATTGCATTAAAATAAATTTAATTATTATGAGTTAAAAGTGCAATTTATAATATGTATGTTATATACGTATTTCCCGCGCTAAATTATTTGTCAACTGCAAATTGGTATAATAACAGACATTCGCAAAAACAGTATTCAATACTGGCAACTAAAATGTTATACATTTTTAAACTAGATTAACCCAATGATTTATTTAAACTAAACTCAATCCATGGACTCAAATGTTTGAATTTTGTAAATTAAATCTAATCTTTGAGCAATAGTATGTTATTTTATATACACACTTCTTCAGAATTAAATCGCTGCCTTGTTTGGATATCCAGTTGTTTAGATAGGTTTAATTATATTGTGAATTGGATGTCCTTATTGGAATAAATGAAATCCTCAAATAATAACTCACGGTTTAGGGAAGCCAGTGACTTTTGAAACTGTGACTTTCGCATCTCTGGTGACTTTTCTGACGAGGTTGGCAGCCCTGGCCGCTGTCACTTGCTTTTTGGTCCAGGCGTGTTGTGGTTGTGTAAACGCCGCTGGCCTTCTTTTCTGAATCCAAAATTCCGGTGAACTGTTACCGGAATTGTACATATCTGGATCTACGACTGCCTCTAGGACATGCTGAACCTTCTGCGACGGCGTCCGGCGTCAGTGCCCCTCATCCGGGCCGCGTTTAGCGCTCCTTTGCACACAGCTGAAAGCCGACCAGGTTACATAGTGCTGTAAGAAATTGCAGTCATCCGCAGCCGGAGACACTAATCAAATTCGTATGTTACAGAGTTCCGGAAATTGGCGAGGAGGGTCCGCTGGGCGAGGGCGTGCTCAAACCCGACGGACTGCCCGCCTTCAGTGACATCACCATCGAAATGTGCCTGGGCGCCATTGGCCAACAGGCGTCGGCGGTCGAGAACTCTGTGAAAGCGCTGGAGAGTGACCTGCAGAATGGCAAGCAGCTGGATGCAGGCGGCATCTTCCGGGAGCTGGACACTGTCACAGGGCCTCTGGAAACGACATGGGGTGTGGCCAAAGCACTGTACCTGGGTAATTCCACGCTGATTCCCACCAAATCTTACATGAACATCCACGAGCGGGCGCGTAATGCCCGGGCGGCAAAGTTCTGCAACCGTACGGTGTACAAGGCTCTCCAGGATGGATCCGCCGAATCCGGGCCGGACGAACAGCGCCTGCGGCAGAAATTCCTGCTGGAAGGCAAGCTTAACGGGCTCACCCTAGACAAAGATAAGCAGGACGGGCTGAAGGAGCTGCTGACCCATTTGGGTCGCGAAAGGGCTAACTTTAAAAACAAGGTCAACATGGCTGTACACTCGTTCGGTCAAGTGATTACCGACTTCAACCTCGTAAGGGATTTCCCGCCTCCTCTTCTAGAGGCAACGGCACGTGATCCCGGCCAGCCGCTGGAAGGTCCCTGGAAGATTACGCTCCAGCCTCAAGTGGTCGACGGTTTTCTAAAGCACTGCCCTGAACGACTGCAGCGCTGGAACGTTTGGCGGGCCAGCGTTCTAAAGGCTTCCTCGCAGCAGGAAAAATCGCTGGAGAACAGCACGCACTTAGAAAAGATTCGCGGATTACGCAAGCGACAGGCGAATCTTTTAGGCTACGCCAACTTTGCGGACATGTCCATGCAGACAAAGATGGTGGGGAGCGTGGACAACCTGAAGCAGATTTTTGCCAAGCTACTGAAGTTCGCCGGCCCTGCCCAAAGTGTCGAGCTGGATAAGCTGCAGAGATTCGCTCAGGACAGTGGCTGTGACTACAAACTGGAGGCATACGACGTCGCCTACTGGCGTCGCAAGCAGCTGATGGCGGAGCACGGTCTGCAGGAGCAGAAGCTTAGCGAGTTCTTTCCTCTGCCCCGTGTAATATCTGGAATGTTTGCGCTAAGCGAGAATCTCTTCGGCATCCAGATAGTGGAGCAGCCAAATGCGGAAGTGTGGCATCCTGCCGTGAAGTTCTACGATGTGTTCGATGCTGATTCGAGTAATAGTTCCACTCCGGTGGGCGGCTTCTACGTTGACTGCTACTCCAAGGAGCACAAGTTCGGCAGGAACAACGGCTGGATGGTGGGCATACGGAATAGCAATAGATCCGCTGGTTTGACGCCCCTCTGTGCACTGATCTTCAACTTTTCGGAGCCGCTGAGAAGTTCAGCGGATGGTAGACCCCCACTCCTGGGCTACGATGATTTGCAAATGCTGTTTAAGACTTTCGGAAGCGGACTGCAGCACCTGCTCACACAGGCGGGCTATAGTGACTTGGCGGGACTCTCGAACATTGAGTGGGATGCCTCGCAGGTGTCCGGTCATGTGATGAGTAACTTCCTGGACGACCCCACTGTGATCAGAAGCCTGTCCGGGCATTTTAGCAGCGGCGAGCCTTTAGAAGCTGAGCTTTCCCAAAAGATGCGACTGTTAAAGACCCAGCTGGCCGGGTATAATCTCTGCCAAGACTTGTACTTGGCGGATCTTGACGTGGAGCTGCACCGCTCGAATGCCTTCTGGCTGGAGATTGTGCGCAAGCTATGGCCCGTATATCACAGCATGCCGCTGGACAAGAAGGACGCGCACCCTTGCTCCCTCACGGACATTTTTGCCGGAGATTGGGCGGCCGCCCAGTTTAGCCATCTGTACTCCCGCCTTATAGCCGCCGACATATCGAGCAGCTTTGCAGAGCAGCGAAGCGAGAAGAACTACGCGGAGGTTGGCCGGCGCTACAAGCAGACTTTCCTCAGCTCCGGCGGATCCGTTCCCACGGCGGAAGTATTCCGCCGCTTCCAGGGTCGCGATCCCTCAGGCGAGGCTCTCCTCAAGTCCTTGGATATATTCGAGCTCTCCCAAACCACGGACAGCAATTAAGGGTCATGCCCTGAACCGCAAAAACATTATCTTCTGTGTGTAGTCAACTGATAAGCCTGATCGATGGGAGTGGTCGACTCATTTGGCACTAATTCTTAGGGGAAAGTAATCGTTGGAGTATTTGAAACACTTTTACTATAGGTTTTAAAATATATTTTGTTAAATAATGTTAAAAGGTAAAAAAATACATGTACTTATTTAAAGTATATTTAAATTTAATTTTGTTCAATGGCTTTAATAATGTACAATGTTATATATAGCATATTTACAATGCCAAACTATTTGCAAAAGAATTTTTTACTTTCCCCCTAAGATTATTTAGTCGTCAGGTCGATCTAGCCAGTGGCAGTCGGATTATGTGATAGCGATCGCGTGAGTCAGGCGGGATCTTATCGCAGGTGTGCAGGTGGTGTCGACAGCCGGCATCGTTTAACCACCCAGATAAAACACAAAATTGTTGCTTTATTTAAATAATACTTTAATAATAAATTGCATAAATTTATAACATTTAACATATTCTCTGGCTCCTCCCTCGGCATTCGATTCGGTTCGATATATATATATACACAACAAAGGCGAAACATGTATTCTGCGGAAAGGAAAATACATCTAGTGGTTTAAAGGGGTAAACCGGAATAAGAGCTTCTACTTGTCTAGCCCTCGTTTAGAAAGCTACCAGAAAATGAGGAACCGAAAGTCAGAAAAGAAATAATCAAAGTAAATTTCGATGCAAGGGCACGGATCGAACTTGGTTAGTTTACAGGAATTAATTTATATATATGCACTAGATTGAAGTGTGGTACTACTTTATGCGTGTGTGCTGCTCCGCAATCCGACGGAGCGTGTCCCGCTGTGGTGTATGGGCTGTGTGCAGTGGAGTGGAGGCTGCAATCTTGAAATCTTTAGAATATTCGCTAAGGCTGCTCTGTGTGGTAGTGGCTGCAGTTTTTCCCGTTGCTGCTTAGTAGATCTCCGGGCAGCCTTCGAAGTTCTGCGCCGCCTTGGCCTCCCAGTAGGTGTTCTTGAACACGTGCACATATTCCTCGCTGCCCTCCTCCTTTTCGCGCTTGAACCACATGGGCTCGTAGGCCGGATACGGTCTACCCTCCGCTGCAGCCTCCTCTGCCTCGTTCTCCCTCCGCCGACGCTCTGTACGTTGCTTGTCTTCCAGGCGCAGCTTCTCTTTGTTCGACTCGTCCCAGTTACCCTGTTCCATTAGCCGTTGGTCGGGACGACGGCGTGAATCCGTCGGTGCCACGCCCTCCTCCTCTTCGTTGAGCTGGCAGGCTAGCGTGGTGAAGTTGTAGAACTTCTCCGACTCTGGCGGAGCAGGCCGACGGCGCCAGGCAAGCTTGAACTCGCCCGTGGTGTACGTGGGACTGCTTGGCGAACCCGTAGTTTTCAGCACTGGTGCGATCTCGATCTTCATGTCCCAGGTACCGCGCACCACCCACTTCACCTCGTTGTCCTTGTTCATCACCACGCCCTTAACGCTCCGCTGCACTTCGCGGCTGAAGTAAGAGTAGGGGATAAAGTTCAGGACGCACTTGTGCCCCTCGGCCGCCTGCGATCCCAGTATTTCCATTTCGCCATGCTGGTCCACCCACAGTTTGCCCACAATGATGTTGTTCACCGTGGTGGTCACCTTGCGCCAGGAATAACGCCTGCCGCTGTTTAGAAATTGCACATAGACCCCGCCTAGCGGATTAATCTGCGGAAAAAACAGTTGGTTAATGGAGGAAGCTATCTCTGAAGAAAGCATCCCGGTTCTCAGAATTACTTGTCTAGTACGAAAAACCTGCTACATTTTTTAAACTACTGTCAGGTCCCGAACAATACTCACTTGAACGTACTTGCCGCGGAACTTGCTGGTCATGGAGAACTCCTGCCAGCACATCCAGTTCTTGCTCTCGCAGTGGAGCGCCGCCACCGGCGGATGGTGGGAGACCTGCTCGGCTAAGCACCGCCAGCCGTAGTCGTCCATGCGGTCGCACTCGTAGGTCTCGCCCAGCAGCGGATTGAAGGGTTTGCCGGTGCGATTCGTGGTCGTGGCGTAGGCGGACACGGTAAAGGCAGCAAGGTAGGCCAGCTGCTCGCACTCATCCTGACAGGTGGCCGCGTAGTCGAGGATCTCTGTATACTCGTAGTCCTCCACCAGGCGCTGCAGCATCGACAGCGGCTCGTTGAAATTGATGGGCATGGGGATCTTGGAGAGATCCTTGCCGATGCAGTTCTTCATGATGCCCCACAGACTGATGGGGTGGTTCGGTTTGTCCGGCACTCGGTCGCGCCGCTTCTTCATAAGATCCGGGTTCCAGTTGCGTCCGTAGATGGAGTCGGTGCTCTGCTTGGCCGGCACCGCCTTGTCCACGTCGTCGTCATCCGCCTGCGCGCCGGAGGTCACCCGCGGCGCACTCACAAGGCACACCTGCTGCACAGTTTGCACTGTGCGCTTCTGCTCGTCGCTCTCGGATGAGCTGCCCTCCTGGTGTCCCTCTGCCTGCTCCTCGCTACTGCTGCGTCGTGTGTTCATCTTCAGAATGAAAGTACCCCGATCGGGCGATTCGGCGGAGCGACCTGGACCAGTGTAGCCGTGTTCCTCAGCGTCGAAAAACTCTACCTCGTCGTCGGAGGTCACCAGAGAGCTGGACGTGGCGTTGCCCGAGCTGGAAGGGACCGGTTTGTTTTGACGCACCAGGATGGCAGCCTGCTCCATTTGCGACTGCTGCTTGGCCATCTGCTCGATGATCTCCTCCAGCCGCTGGCGCTGCTCGCGCTCATGGTGAAGCATCTTGGACCACTTGTGGCCCTGGGCCTCCGCCGATTGCAGGTAATCGTTGCCAGCGTTTATCATCGCATTCGAGGTGATCCGGAAGAGGGTGGCCCGCTCGTTGACGATCTTGGTGCGGCTTGCGAGCGACTCCTCCTCGTTCGTCTCCAGATCGTTAAGGGCCCGTTGCAGCGCGGCGCCGTGCTTGGTGATGAGGTCGTAGCAGGTGCGCATGTTCTCCAGCCGGTCAGTGAAATCGCGAACCACCGAACTGATCTCCTGGCTGGGCACCACATGGGCCGTCTCCGTCTCCTCCTCCTCCTCGCACTCCATGACCCGAATGGCCTTGGCCTTGGCCAGCTCCAAGGCGGTGACCCACGACTGGCGCTCCACCTCGGTGCCGGCCTTGATGTGGAAGGTCTGGGTGCCGCCGTTCGAGATAACGAACGTACACGAGTCCACCGTGTGGATAAGAGCCCCGTGTAGCGAGATGGTGCCCCGGCACGTGTGGTTGATCTCCGACTGGTTGCGGTAGTAGCTCAAAACACCCTTTGAGAGGACGAACCACCTGCGCTGGTAGCCCTTGATGTAGTTGGTCCACTTTAGCAGCCAGCCCTTCATCTGCGGCAGGGCCTTCTCGGCCAGCGCGTTGCCAGCGGCGTCCGTCATGGCGCCCGGTTCCGGATGGAGCAGCTCCTCCGGCCGGATGGATCACCTGCTGCGAGATTCCGAATAGCGCCACGTACGATGACTGGCGATAGGTTGGTTCCGCGTTCCGCAACTCCGACCCGAAAATCGAATGCGATATTGGTTATTGGACGGCGACTGCTGATTGCTGCTGGCCAGTTGCTAGCATCGCACGGTGGGGACTTGGCCTCCGGATCACCGCCGAGATTCCGATTACTTTTCGGTCGCGAGTCTGCCTCGCGGTCACTGCGAATTTCGTGTAGTTTTGCTTCTAATTTTCCTGCAGAAAATAAAGAAACTGTGGAAGTAGAGTGCGCGTCTGTGTGCGTGTGTGTCCCGTGTGTGTGTGTGTGTGTGTGTTGGCTGGGTGCAGATGTGTGCGTGTGTCATAGAGCTGGAAGAAAAATCGATTAATCGATACTTTCAATTTTCTTTAAACATCGATTTCAAATTTACAAATGGTTTATTTTTAATTTAAGTCAGCAAATTTTAAATAATTAATTTATGAATAATTAAATAAATATTTCAGTCTCGGCAATTCTGATAACCGTGGTGGTCCTAACAGCGATTGTGTTCTTGCCAACATTATCTCTCGTTTTTTGTATTCCTAATGCATTCAGGTTGCCGAGCAAAATATAGGAAATCAAATCACATACTACCGTAAACTGGTAAGTAAAATTGTTTAAAAACATTAAATTTCAGAGCAGTAAATGTGAATCGTTCTAATTTTCCGCGAACCCGATTTCTAAGTGCACCAGACTTTCAGTTGAGAGACGGGATCAATTTCTCAAACCGTTCACAAGTTATTTATAATTATTTAAATTATAGTCAATACTTATTAGATTGTTGTTGAACTTCATAGCGATGGTGTCGTCTATATGTCGTGCTTGCCTGGGGCCTTCAGAAAACATGGTCAATATTTTTAAGAGGACGCAGGGACCAAGAGTTTCCATTGCGAATATTATTTCTGAATGCATTGGACTTACAATTAAAAGAGGTGATCAATATCCAGACGCCGTTTGTCCTTCCTGCCTGCAGGATGCGAAAAATGCTTTCGAAATAAAGCAAATCTTCAGCAACACTTAAAATACCATGGAGAACGACCGTTCTTCGTGTTATAATATATATGTAATCTTTCCATTTAGACACTTGTTAATATTATATATTATATTAACTAAGAAGGTGGTGAATAAGTTATCCAAGTTAAGCAAAAAGGAGTCCAAGAGTGATAGTGATACAGAATTTATTCATGATAACTCCGTATAAATGGCCTCTAGCTAGAGATTTGAAACTTTCGTAACCGTCTTTTTAAATGGAATCGAGTTTAAAAACAACGTCTTTATCCTTTTTTTGGTATCATATCGTATATATCCCTCGAGTTGACTTTAACCTACATATATCTGTCATATGTATATGTGTAAGCGCAGTGTACGCTGTCATCAATATTTGGAATCCCCTGAAATTATCAATCCTAGTCGATATCGATAGTGCTCTAAGCTATGTGTTGACAGTATCGATATCATCTCTGATTTTCCACATCTCTAATGCACCTAAGAAGTAAACTCGGATGGTTATCCGATCCCGATCTTATAATGTTTTTATTTGGCTTAAATGTACAGTAAGAAATAGAACTGTATGACGGTGAATATAATTTACAGTGGAAAAGCAGAGGAAAGCCACCATTCCATATTTAAGACTCGTCTGGAATGTTAACCACAAAAATAAACAGGCTTCTTGCAAGAACGAAAGAAATTCCTTGGAAAATTGCACGTTGTGATAGAATCAGCAGAATTTGCATGCCCATTTACACGACCAAATAATACCACACTAATTACCTTGGCTAGCTGATCCTTAAGACTTATTGGGATAAAACATTACCCATAAATATCCGTAAGAAAGTTCATTTAAATTATAGTCAATATTTATTACATTGTTGTTCATAGCGATGGTGTCGTCTATATGCCGTGCTTGCCTGGGGCCTTCAGAAAACATGGTCAATATTTTTAAAAGGACGCGGGGACCAAGAGTTTCCATTGCGAATATTATTTCTGAATGCACTGGACTTACAGTTAAAAGGGGTGATCAATATCCAGACGCCGTTTGTCCTTCCTGCCTGCAGGATGCGAAAAACGCTTTCGAAATAAAGCGAACTTATGAAAGGAGCTATAAGTTCTTCTGCCAGTTAAAGAAGGATTCACAGGTGGAGACCAATAGGAACCAATGCCAAACGAGGAACGAGTCTCTAGGACAAGACCTACTCGTGACCGACGATTTCAAGGACACGGACTCAGATGATGATTACGATGTTGAAGATGATTTGCAATCGGATACTAACGATGATGAGGATTATGAACCTCGGATTGTTGATGGTGAGCATAAATGCTCTCAGTGTTCAAAGACTTTTGTATTGAAATCAAAACTGAAAATTCACTTAAAAACGCACTCAGGGGAAAGACCATTTAAGTGCTCCCACTGCTCAAAAGTTTTTCACCGAAATTCGTATCTTCAGCGACACTTAAAATACCATGGAGAACGGCCGTTCAAGTGTACCCACTGCCCAAAGACCTTTGCCGAAAATGCAACTCTTTTGAAACACTTGCGTATTTACACAGGCGAGAAACCTTTCAAATGCACCTACTGTTCAAAATCTTATATCCAAAATTCAAGCCTGAAAATACACTTGAGAACTCACACTGGAGAACGACCGTTTAAGTGTTCCCACTGCCCGAAGTCCTTTGCGCTAGATGCAAGTCGTAAAAAACATATGCGAATGCACACCGGAGAACGACCTTTCAAGTGCACTCACTGCTCGTCGGCTTTTACCCAGAAACAACATCTACAAAAGCACTTGCGGATCCACACAAGAGAACGACCGTTTAAGTGTTCCTATTGCCCAAAGACTTTTGTACTGCATCAAGATTTTCACGACCATTTACCAATTCATAAAGGAGAACGAATGTTCAAGTGCAGCCAGTGTCCGAAGGCTTTTACAAGGAATTTACATTTAGAGATACACTTGCGATCGCATACAGGAGAAAGACCGTTCAAGTGCACACACTGTTCAAAGACTTTTACATCGGAGGCAGTTCTTCGCGAACACTTGCGTGTCCATAGTGCAGAGCGACCATACAAGTGTACCCACTGCTCAAAGTCTTTTAAACATAAGTCAGTTCGTCAAACCCACATGCGGATACACACTGGAGAACGACCATTCAAGTGTACCCAATGCCCAGAAACTTTTATTTCGAATTCAGTTCTTCAGTTTCATTTGTGTACCCACACAGGAGAACGCCCATTCAAGTGTACCCTCTGCCCAAGAGCTTTTATCCAGAAATCAAATTTTAAAAAACATTTGCAGACCCACACAGATGAACGACCATTCAACTGTACCCAATGCAGCAGGACTTTTAGACAGGAATCAGTACTTCGGGTTCACTTAAAAACTCACACAGGAGACCGACCGTTTAAGTGTACCCAGTGCCCGAAAACTTTTATTATGAAAAAAGGTTTTCAAGATCATTTACGGACCCACACAGGAGAGCGGCCATTTAAGTGCTCTCACTGTTCGAAGTCTTTTAACACGGGGTCAATTCTTAAGCGACATTTGCGTATACACACTAAATAGATTTCATTCCAATGTACTCACTGCCCAAAATCTTTTACAGTAAATTCATCTTTTGAACGGAACTTGCGATCACACAAATCCGGAACCTAATTTCTATATTGTACGTAGATCTAAGTTATACATGTGTTATGATCATGATCATAACTTGTTATAATATATATGTAATCTTTCCATTTAGACGCTTGTTACTATTATATATTATATTACCTAAGTTCGTTTTTCCATTATAATCTGTTTACTTATTGCTTAAAATGTTAAAAGTTTAATCAACGGAATGGATTGACACAACGTAAATATGGTGTACCACAGGCTGATGCCCTGTTCCCAGGCTGACTCATGGCCAACTGCGAAATAGATTGGGCTGTAAATTGGATTACACATTTTTATTTATAAATATACGGTCTGATAAATAGAAAAAATACAAGTGTTTAAGGTGGGGACTTTTGGGCTACGGCTTCAACCGGGTGGCTCTCCATGTGCCGAATCACTTCTTATACTCCGCCCAAGAGTAGCGGAAGGAGCGGATCATGTGGATAAGGCTGCAAATACAAATCTGGTAAAAATGGCGGGCAGTATTTCTCGGGCGGAAAACACATAGTGGTTTAAATGAGACAAGGACGGCACAGAGACAATCACCAGACGATGACGTATATACAATAAATCGTTTATTCGTAGGCAGTTCTTGCATAATATAAAATAAATATGTATACAGTTACAAGTAATTTAAAAGTACAAATACAGTTTCATTTCCATAGGTTGTTTTGTTTGCCCTCTCATGTCATTATAATAGTTCCATTCACACGTTGCAGACACAAGATCTTTAGAAGCTTTTATGGACGCCTCACAAAACAAGACAACAAAAACAAGGCATGAGGGAGATGGTGGGTGGCGATGAAGGTGTTCGATTGTTGGACAAAAAACACAAAATGGGCGAAGCGGTCGAATATATAAATACGTAAAGCGGGCGAGAGGATGAGGATGATCCTTAGTGGCTACGGGGGTATGGATTGCAAGTTGCAAGTGGCATGTGAACGTTGCAGGATAAGCAGAGCGTGGCCTTTACATGGTGTTGTAGGCGGCGGTGTTGAAGCCCGTTTTGGGTGCACTTAGCCTGCTCAGCGGATGCGTCTTTCCATGCTGCGCCAGCCGCCGGATTTGCACCTGCTGCTGCTCCGGTTGTTGTTGCTGCTGCTGATGGTGGTGGTGTTGCATGTTGCTGCTGTGACTGTGGCGGGCGGGAGCAGGCGGCGGACGACTGTCGCTGTAGTCATGCGTAGATCGGTTCGACAACGATCTATCATAGTAAGAGCGCGGGCGTTGCTTGAAGCTAGTGGTGATGGTGGTGCTGCATGCGTGGCTGATGTTGCTGGCGGTTCCGGCGGGCGGCAGTGGGGCGCAGGCGACTGTGGGCGGGGCGGCCGCCTGGCTACTGCAGGAAGTAGTGGTTTGATATTTATGCACTAGACCTTTTACATTACGATCACAATTTTCGCTTACGCTGGAATCGGACGAGTTGGAGGCGGAGGAGTTGGAGTTTGAGGCGGGGGACACGTGGTTGGCATGCTGCGCCACCGGCGACGATGGCAGTGATTGGTGGCTGGTCGACTTCTTGCCGGGGTTTGTTGAGCTGGCCACTCCCGCATTCCCAGTTGCCACGATTGCTGAGCTGCTGCCGGATCCCGCCGACGCTCCACCGCCTCCTCCCACGCCCACCACCCCCGCTTTGGCTTCAAAATTTTGCTTGAGTATTTGCACATTGCCCGAGATGCGCTGATCGTCGGCCAGGGCTTGACCCTGGACGCGCAGCACTACCGCCGCCTCTTGGTCGCCGGGCGTGGTGTTCTTGTTCTCGATGTCGCTGGTGTGCATCAGCTCCTCGCTATTGCATCGCAGAGGTTGGCGCTGTCGCGGACTGTGTGCCGAGGAAGCGCTCCGGTACAGACTCGGACACCGCTTCTGACCAGCATCCACCGCCTCGAGTAGTAGCTCCTGGCTGTCCTCCTGGCAGCGCTTCTTCAGAGCTGTGCTCTCCTCCAGCTTCTGCTTGGTGCGCTTGACGGTGCCCTCGCCAACTCCAGCTGATGGTTCCGCTGAAACGGGCACTCCTTCAATCACGTTGCAATTGCCGCTGCGCTTAAGGTCTTGAATAACGCCTTCGAAAATGGCCGTGGTGTTGCGGTTGCTGTCGTAGTATGAGCTCGAGCTGGTCCTCTGCGGCAGACTGCTCCGGTTGTCACCCGATCCCCAGCTGGCGTGGCGCGATGGGAGCTCTCGTGGCCGAGTGCCTCGAGGCCGCAACAGGATGGCGCTTGGTTGCTGCTTCTGTTGCTGGGGCGTGGGGTCCAGGACAATGCCGCCACTAGGACCGAACGACTCCGTCCAAGAGTGCGTCTTGCGGCGCTGACGCTTCTCTCCTTCCTCCTTGGCAAATACACTGTCAACCTGCGAAGAGAACACATCCGAAGAGCTGGAATCCCGCCGCGGCTGGATGTTCCCACTGCCGCTGCTACTTCCACTGCCTCCCAGGTGAGAGGTCTGCGTAATTAGCTTGGTCAGCGAGGTCCAAACTGGCTGTTGGGGCACCTGGTCCGCCCGGTGCGCCTCGAGATCGTGAATCCGCGTACGCACAGACAGAGGCGTGTGCTTCTGGATGTGCAGCACCTGGTTCTGAGTGACGCTGTAGTTTTCCCCGTTGCTCCCCGGAAAGCGCATGTTCTTGGGTTCCTCGGCCACGCTACGCTCCGGCGTCAGGTTTTCCATCGACTGGCTCTGCTGCTTGGTGACCACCGCCGTCTGAGTTTTGGGAGACGTGCTGCTGGAGCGCCGGACCAAGCGGCGCTGCGACTTCTGGGCAATGGAGCGGCGATGCAGGCGCGAGCCATCCTCCTCCTCGCCGTCGGGCGTTACGCCCGCTTCACCGGTGGACTTGGACTTGGCCTGGTTGAGCGCTTGGATAAGGGGAGTGGGCTCGCTGCCGGGCAGAAGACGCGCGTCCTTTGTGCTCTTCAAGTTCGTCTCGCTCTTGCTGCGCTGCAGCTTCTCCTTGTTTTTCATGGCGTCCAGCATGCCGCTGTATGTCTCCAGCTGATTAAGAAAGTTCTTGTTCGGCTTGATGCAGCTGCGCCGCTTTTTCACGTGCTCCAGCGCCTGCTGGAACTCCCACTGGTAAGCCTTCATGGCATACGCGATAACCACTGAGGCGGATCGACTGACGCCCATCTTGCAGTGCACCAGAACCTTGGACCCTTCGGCCTTCGCCCGCGAGATGTAGCGGAACGTGTCGTCCCAATACTTGAGCAGGTTCGTCTTTTCGTCGTCGTACACGCGCACGTTAAAATACTCGAAGGTGCCCGGAAAAAAGTTGTCGATCTCCCGCGTCACGTTCAGGATGTGGCGAACGCTGAAAGCAGAGAAGGAACGTGTAAGTAAAATTACGAACTCGAAAACATTAATAATAATCTGAATTTTAAAATTGTTTAAACGATTTTAAACTGAATTATTTTGTCCAACACGAATATTACAATCTTCAACTCTCCTTTCTAGCCCGGAATCTTTTTTGGATCTATCAGACATTAAAAAATGCATACCCGTTTTTCTGCAGCTCCTCCAGGTTACTGGCGTTCCACTCGGAACCTAGGTAGACATGTTCAAATATCTTGGTGGGTGCATCCATTTGGCCCAGAATGACAAGCATTTCGGCGTCGATGAACGACTTGTACTCGCCTAAATCCATGTCCAGAATCTCCTCGAGACGGCCGCGTATATACTTGGATGTTACCTCGTCGAGATCCACCGACATCATGATGGCCTTCAGCTTCATCTTAATGACACTCTCGGTTTCCTCCTTTTCGGGGGGTCTGCCAATCGATAAGCATGGTATTAAACAGTAGAGGATGATCTGATCAAACGCTTACTTGTTTCGTATGGCATCAGGCGAAGGGGGTCGGCGACTCTCGAGCGCGTCCATGGCATTCCACTCGTTTAGGCAGGATTGGTCCGACTCAATGCGCCTCTCATAGCTGGTTAGCCAGTCGTGGGAGGGACCGCTGGCATAGAAATTATTCTCACGAGCCTTCTTCGACACTTTGTGCAACGTCTGCAGCGCGGACCTGCCGATGATATAAGTTTTTTAGTCGTGGCTCAGAGAACCTGACACAGGCTAAGCCACCTACCACATGGCCTGTACTGAGACCGGCTTGAAGATGTGCGTCTTCTCGTAAACTTTGACGCTAAAGCCACTGCAAGACAGATAATGTGTTAGTTAAAAAGGATCGATAATTGGTAAATTGGTAATTGATTTCATGATTTCATTTCATTTCTTTTTGATTTTGTGAGCTGATCTACCTACAAATATTCAAAAAGTGTAAACTAATTTAATTTCGTTTCATACCCATCGCCATCCAGGTGAATTGTGGTGTCCGCCAGGATGGGCACAACTAGGCCAATGGTGGTCCGCTCATTGCAGTCGATGCCCAGCAGGCAGGATTCCTCCATACCCGAGGTATTCTTGTTGTCGCCGGCCGCCGTCGTATTCTCCTTGTCCGCGGATTTATCACATTTGCTGCTGGTTTCCACGGCGGTCTGCTCGACGGATAGCTGGCGTTGCGTGGTGACCGCCGCGGAGGAGGACGACGTGGTGCCCGCTGAGCCGCCCACTTTGGCCGAATTGTGACGCATGATACGGTGTCGCCGACGTTCGCTGGTGGCGCTCCGACAGCAGCTGCGCGAGGCAATCACCAGGTAGCGTGTGCGGTTAGACCGCTGCGACTCCAGCTTGACAGCCTGTGGAGAGGAAAGGGATGTTGAGCTAGCTAAAGTACTTTTAAATCGAGTACCCACCATCTTGAGCGTGTCCTCGCGCTGCAGGAGGAAGAACATGGACTGTAAATGAAGCTGGATGTCCGAGTTGTTACTCTGCGTGCTGTTGCTGGAGCGAGTGGAGTCGGTGCTCAGTCGGCGTTCGCTCTGCGTTTGGGGCGGGATGTCCTTGAGGTCCAAGACCAGGGCGGTGCCCTTGCAGGCGAGGAAGCACTCGCTGCGATTTGTCTTGCTATTGCCCTCGTCGTCCTCGGCTTCGCCATCCTGTGGGTGTTAAATAAAAGACAATTTTGTTTAATAGGTTTCCATATGGGCATAGTTCTGCTGTCCCTCACCCAGCGAGGCATATTAAACATATTTTCATAGGGCCAACAAGCTCGCATGCTGAATGACTTTACAAAGAGATTTTTGCTCGATTAATGTCTGATTATTGCCTGAATTAAAATTCCAAGGGTATAACACACTGGCAGAAATAAAAGAAGCTCTGTATCTAATCAAAAGTAATAGGGCTAATACTTATTTATATTTTGATCTCTCTACAATATTTTATCACTTGGGATGGTCTTGTAAACTAGAGTTCTGAGCTTTTTATGATAAATATTTAGCTTTTGTGTTCAGATCCCACTGCTGTGCATAACTTTTTTTCATATTTTATTAGGTCAATAAATGTTATTTTGTTATTCAATATTGGGTCAACATTTTTGAAACTACACATAAATTTCTCACTATTACTTTTTACGATGTGTTTATTTAATTGATATTCATATCGTATGCATTTTTCTTTCTGTGCAGTCGGACGTCAAGGTCTCGCGAACTATTTTTGGGCGGTGGGGCGGCGAAGAAAACAAAAACAAGCGGAAAGCGACAAAAACGACAAATAAGGCAATGCAAAAGTCTGTTGAAAAATATAGACGTCGCGACGTCTGCGGATTTGCTTGGGTTACACCAAAAGCAGCGCCGATGACGAACGATGCCGCCCGCCCACACGCGAAAACCGAAAACCAAAACGTAAGCAACAAGCTCGCGGATAAACATTGGTCATGATGAAGAGCACACAAAGGATCATGGCCAAAAGCGGAACACGCACGGAGAAGAGCTTTTCCTAAATTGGCCCTCTCTTTGGCGAGCGGGGGTGACCAAAACAAAGCAGACATGCGAGAGCGAGGGAGACTCTCACCGAATTCGAGCAGGAGCCAGTTACACTGGGAGAGCGCTGCACCGTCACCAGCGCCATTTGTTGTTGCCGTCGCCGTCGCCGCTCCTCCTCCGCCTGCTCCTCCCCCTCGTGCTCCACCTGGAAAAGATGATGATGCTGCAGCGGTGTCCTTTGCAATCCTTTCCTGCTTTTGGCTGTATTTCCGAGAGAGTGTGTGTGTGTGCGAGTTGTGGGTTAGGGCTACAAATGCATTTTCATGTCGCTGCCTGCTGGCCGTTGTTTTTGCACTCAACTCCGCGCCCTCGTCCTTCGATCCACCGTAATTCCGCTTCCTGGACTTTCGCCAGGCGGTTCTCTTTAAAAAATAGTGTGTCCTTACAATTGACAAACACACAGAACGCTGCTAAATGGTAAATAGACTACACGAAATTTTCTTAAAAGAAAGACAGTGAGGACGCCATTTCTAATCGATTACACTAATATCGCCAGCCAATCGTTCTCGCAGGGCTGCACAACTTTCGATGGGAAAGGCAAAGTATCGGGTAGTACACTGAACAAAAAGCTCTGACTATCAGATATTTAAAAGATGGGGATATTTGAAAATTGTAAATAATGTAGAGTTTGTGCAATGTAAATTTATAAGCAATTTTTCAGCACAACAGCCCACTTTTAAAACCACCGCTGGTGAAAGAGTTTAATATTTAGGTAACCTAATTTTTAATATATAGAGTTAAGTGGTAAATTAACAATAAAATAACCTTTTTATGTCATCAACTTCAAATCACAAAAGCAAACGGTGCTTTTAATCGAGTGCCTTTGGTAATCGAATGGAAGTCAGTATCGGCAGCATCTACAGCTGTGCAGTGTTGAAAAATATCGATTCCGCGAACAGATGATTGCAAAAATCAGCTGGCCAAACAACAACATAACAAGCGAAAGCTTCAGGTTTTGGTTTGCAATTTCTAAATCTCGTCCAAAACCCAAGAAGATGTCGGCTTTTATCGAGGAAACCAAAAGCCTGCTTCCGCGAATCGCCTTCATAGCCTGCGGATGCTTTAGTCCGCCCACGCCCATGCACTTGCGGATGTTTGGTGAGTCAGAAACCGGATGGTGAAATTCCCCGGTACATAATCGATACGATTACGCCGCATGTTCCTGCCCACAGAGATAGCCAAGGATCACTTTGAGATGCAGGGCACATACAGAGTGGTGGGTGGCATCATCTCGCCCACACACGATTCGTACGGCAAGAAGGGTCTGGCCTCCGCCTTGGACAGGTGCGCCATGGTGAAGCTGGCCACGCAGAGCTCCAACTGGATCCGGCTGTCTGACTGGGAGGTGCACCAGACAAAGTGGATGCGCACACAGGCAGTGCTCCAGCACCACCAGAACTACATCAATAACCACATCAATTCAGGGGGAGCGGGCGGCAATGACGAGCCGGATACTCATCTGGCCGGATGGCTGCCAAGGGGGCTGCACGACAGCCGGGATCCTGTGCACCTGAAACTCCTGTGCGGCGCCGATCTGCTGGAGTCCTTCGCAGTTCCAGGGCTGTGGTCAGAAGCCGATGTAAGTCTTGATAGTCGTCTTTCGAAAGTTTTTTATTAAATTGGATTTCCTGTAGATTGAGGACATAGTGGCTAATCATGGCCTAGTGGTCATCACTCGCGCTGGCTCAAACCCTGGAAAATTTATCTTTGACTCAGATATATTGACCAAATACCAGGTATCCGAGTTGCTCTCTCTACCAAATTATTGCTTCTTTATTTTCTTGTATGTTACAGAACAACATTACGCTAATTACCAACTGGGTGCCCAATGAGGTGAGCTCGACGTTAATCCGGCGACTCTTAGGCCGCGGTCAGTCGGTCAAATATCTTATAGACGATCTGGTGCTGGAGTACATCAAGCGCCAGCGCTTGTTTAACGTAAAATCGTAGGTTGACCTTCTATTACATCCCCTGTTTCCCGCATGCCCACTCACAAACACCCACCTTAAAACTGATACGTACACTGAATGAGGCGCCACCTTGATACATTTCACCTAGCAGAGATCACACTTAATGTGCACCACAGCTTTTTGTATTGTATACTTTTGTGTCTCAAACTGCAGGCAGGATGCACCGGCTCCGCCCGAATGCGACTCCTGACGCGTTTTGCACCCGAAAAAGAAGCCCTCGTCGCCCACCCGCAGTCCAAGCCACCAGCACCGTCACTTGCACCACTTGCCCCACCAGTACCATCCGCTGTTTGAGCCTTGGCGCCTCTTCATGGAGCGTGAGTGAGCCACAGCAGATCACAGTTCAAGTTCCTATTTATCAATTATTCCTCTAATGCATGCTTTTATTTTCCCGATCTTTGCCCTTGTAAATACCGTTGATAAGAGTAGTTATCGATATTCTGGTGGTCAGTGTGCGTATCATTACTTACCCCAAATTGTTGCCAAAATGTAGTCCCATTAAAAAGTAACCTTAACTTTGTTGCTATTATACTGACCATGCCTGCTTAACCCGTGGATTGTAGTAAGTATATAACGGATGCAGTGCGTCCCACCCATTTGCTCTTTACCCACGCCTATACGGACAACAACAAGAACTCGAGCAGTTACCTTATAGGAGACCAGCTGGAGCAGGATATGGACGAGTCGGACACTCCCAGCCCGCATCTGCAGCACACGGCCACGTCGCGCGTCTTCTGCTGCGGAGAAGGCACTTTAAGAGGCTCCAAGCTGCTGCGATCTGGTCCCGGACAGGCGGTGCAGGTCATAACCATGCAGGCGGATGAAAAAGAAGAGGTAGGTAGTGGTTCTACTAATTAATTCTAGTATTTGAAATGAAAAATACATGACTATTTTTATTTAAAATCAAGATTGATGCCATAGTTTCTTTCAATTTCAGAGCCAGGCGAAAAAGCAGAAGATTTCACAAGCGCAACTCTAGGAAACTGAAGGACGAATCTCAGACGGATCAATACAGGAGCGCTGGCAGCTTATTGTTGATAATATATGTGCATGTAAAATAAACACGTTCGTTACCGAGTTGACGGCTTTTGTGGGTCACTCCACGGAGCGGAGGGACAAGGCATTGAACTTCAGGCAACGTGCATTGACATTGCAGCCGTTGCAGGGCTTCCCTTTGGTTTCCGATGTCAGAACTTGTTGATGGTTGTGCCTCAAGAGTGGCCATCATTAGTTTGGGCTTAGAGGGACTGCAGTTGCTTGCTTCCCCTGGAAGAGTCCACATCGCGAATGTTTTTCTTTCGTCGACAGAATGCTAAGCCCGCGCCACGCCCTTCGCGTGCCCCCTCCTTTGCGCTGCCCAAGCGGCGGTATCCTGTCCAGTTGACGCCCTCGCATCAGCACGACCAGCTTCCCTTCCTGCGGAGATCCCGGTTTAGTGCCCTGCCCCATTTCCGGGCCTACGAGGACGAGCCGGAGAACCTGACGCTCTTCATCGCCATCCTGTACGTGGTGGACTTGTTTGGAATCTTCCCATTTGTCACTCTGCCCGCACTGCTGGTGAAGCTGGGCTACTTTGGGGTGCTGCTGGTGCTGTCCATCATCTTCCTGCAGATCTACACCTCCTTTCTGCTGTCCCAGTGCTGGACCATGGCCGAGCTGCTCGATCCGTCCATCCAGCAGAAGCGAAACTATCCGTATGCCGCACTGGCGGAGCTGGCCTACGGCCCCTACATGAGTCTGCTGGTGTCCGTGCTCCTCGACCTCAGCATCTTCGCTATGGCGGTGCCCAGTGTGGTAATGGCTGCCGAAAATCTGGAGGCCGTCGTACTGCGCATAAGCGCTGGCCACTACAACTTCTCCTACTGCTACTGGGCCATCATCGTCGGCCTGGTCATTTGCCCGCTTATGTGGCTGGGAAGTCCGAAGCACATGCGGTAAGATGAGATTCCCTTCTTTGGGGTGGCTTACTTCAAAAGAAGGATTAGTGATATTTCATGTGGGTAAAGAAGGTAAAAGCAAAAGGCTTTTGTAATATGGTTAGCAAACTGGTAATATAATTAGTTTATAAAGAATGGGAACAAGTCCTTAGTTAACTGTGATATGTGTTCTATTTTATTAATATCCTAGAGGTCTGGCTATCATCGCAGTTTGTGTGATGATCGTTATTGTGGCGCTGCTGTGGTTTTGCCTCTTTGCAGCTCCAGCGATTGGAACCCCATTCGAGGGCATTTCCTTGGGTGGGTACTGTAGATCCAGTCTGTCGTTCAGTAATTATACTGCCAATTATCCATAGAACTGCCTGGATTCCTCACCGTACTCAACAGCTACAGCATACTGGCCTTCCAGTTCGACATCCATCCCGTTCTGCTGACGCTCCAGATCGACATGAAGCACAAGTCGCAGGTGTCCTGGGCTGCCCTAATCGGAATTTCCAGTGAGCCGTTGAAGTAATCCGATTCTAGGTGGAAAATAATCTGGATATTTGTATTAGTCACCTGCAGCGTGGCCATCTTTGGCTCTATAATCGCCGCCTATAAGTTTGGTTCGATGATAGCGGACAACCTACTGCAGTCCTTGCCCACCAGCGTGCCCTTCTACGTGATGCTGATCCTGATGGCCCTTCAGCTTTGCTTTTCTGTCACGGTGGCTAGTTCGGCTATGTTCCTGCAGATCGAGAACTACTTTAAACTGCCGGAGTGTGAGTACATACCAGATTAGATTACAATAATGTATTTACCCAAAAGTAGTAACTCTAGTAATCAAATTTATCTTATCTTAATCAAATTTATCTGATATTCATGGTTTATCATTATAAAAGCTAACCTAAATATTTTATTATAATATATGGAGGGTCATTCGATATTTTAAAATAGATGGTTAAAAACAAATTTTATTTCATATACTACAATATTATAATAGTACTTGAAATTGCAATTACCAGTCAAAATAAATTAATCACAATCTTGGAAAAAAGCTTATTAATGATAAGTTAATTATGAATTAAAAATAATAAAAACCTTTTTGAAAATGTAATAAATAAATTCATGTCATGGAGTTAGTTTGGTCAACTTTAGTTAATGATCACTTGATCAATCAATGTCGTTCTGCTGAAACGGACTCTGAATGTGTTCCGTCATATTGTTTTGGCTACATTAATCTAAGTCATTGTTTTGGTTTAAGTAAGTCATCTATATCTTTCTATATCTATATTTTCAGCCCTCTCCTTCAAACGCATGCTGATCCGGTCTTCTGTGCTGGCCTTGGAGGTCCTCGTGGCGGAGTTTGTGCCCAGCTTTGATGCTCTGATGGATGTGGTGGGTGGCACCATAACCGGACCGCTGGTATTCATCCTTCCGCCGTTGCTGTACCGTCGTATCCGGCGGATGGAGCGGGTTCATCAGAGGATCGCGGCGGAGGCCAGTTACGGCAGTCTGCCGCTGGACCTGAACTATGACCCCGTTGACCTGGAGATGGAGCCACTGCTGGTGACCGCCCCGCCGGTTTCCCCCC